ATCTTCATGACAATAAGATTAAAGGATAAAATTGACACCCTGGACAAATGAAATGCATTGGACTATTATGGGTGCACCGCGGATACAGCTACAGGGAACTCATGGTAACTTGGCGGAAAAAGGACGCGCAGTAGATCCAAGCAGTAAATATTAAGGACCAATAAAACTTTTGTCCCGTATACATTTCTGACCCCTGTTTTCAATGTATTTTTCGCAGAAAACAAAAGATACCTCATACCTAAGCTGAGATGCCACTTGTTCTCATAAGGGCCGGTTGCAGTGTTTGTCCCGTTTCTCATTCGAATCAAACCTTAAGTTTGCGCTTTTAAACCCCGCTTTAAAACTTTTACTTATTTCGTGGCACATGAAACAAAAAGACTGCCGGTAGTTAGTAGGGGGCCGAGGCTTTGAGCGTCTTGGAAATGTCTACAGTGAAACAATAATGAAACCAACCTGTTTACTTCCTCACTGAAGTAGTAAAATCTAAGGAATCTTACGAACGTACCGAAATTGTTTTTACGCCTCCTCCCATGCACATATCCACAGCATAGCATATGTTGATATATATATATATGAAAGCCAATAGTATTTATTCACTGCTGCACTAAAGATAATAAACATCATGTTTTACTCATTACAATATTAATTCTAATTCTACACAAGTTGCCAATAAACCTGTACCTGAACACGTACGTATGCTCCGCAAGATGAATGGCGTGGATAATAACATGCATTTGTCAAAGAAGTCAGCATTTTGCCAGAGGAATTTTTGTTGTTCATTCATTGATCAGGTGTCATGACAAGGTTAGTCACTTTCTCGCATTAGTATGGTCTTCCTAAACCGTTTGTACCTACGCTGGTCGTAGCCTTACCCCAACTGTGAAAGTATACGTGGGGTGTGCAAAACCACCTGTTAAGTTCCAGAAGCCATTCACAGCTTGAAATTTGGCAAGCGATCTTTGCAGAGAAAAGTGCTCCTAATTCACGAAAATTAAATGGAGAATTTCGCCTCATAAGTCCAAATAAGGGTTTCCAAGCAATCAGCCGCTTGTTGAACAAATGCAGTATTTTTCACAAAACAGTGCTTGAAGCGTATGATTTGAAGGAAGCACTAAACTGCGCGACTTTAAAATTTATGGCATTGCAGTGGGTGGGATTTTCACGATTAAATCTTCCAGAAAGTCCAAAGCTCTACACAACAAAGTTGATAAATGTTTTCTATGTATCTATCAACCTCTGACAAAAAAACTACAGAATCCACTGACTACGTATAGTTATTTCGTGACGCGTACGTCAAAGAACGCTGCTGAATCCTAGGGAAACTGCGAATTAATTGACAGCCACGTCGCTCAAGGTGCATGGCGTCGTGACGATCAATGGGCCATCGACCTGAACTGCTTGTGGTAAACGGATTCGTAGCATGTCAATCAACCGGAGTTTTCCTGCGATTTTAAAGAGTGAAAAGGACATGCCAATGCAGTTTCCAACGTTTACGTCTTAGCCACACGAAGATGAAAATCTCACCTCTCATACGATATTACTTTTTTGCAAAGATATTTTGCCCAATTTCTGGCTATAATCTATCATTTTATCTGCTTTCAAGGAGATGGAGTAAGGTAGAATGTTGAACTGCATGAAATGAAGTTTCGACAAAACAGGCTGTATAAGCCTGAACTTTATCACGCCGCTTGTAACATAACATCGGGGACCATACCAATCCTAATTAATCAGATTGTTCCAGGAAGTTTTTTCTTATCAAACTTGAGGAAGGATTTTAATCTTCTTATGCGCTGGGTATACTGAGTCAAAACCATGGCCAAACAAAATCTCGCTGTTTGGCCAACAGACTCATATTGAGGATGCGGTTAATGCGTCCACAAATGATCTACACCTTGATGTACCATTTTACATCGAATCAGATGAAAAACATCCATTTCATTATTCAAACAGGTTAAAGTCCAAGCCTTAGTTTGCCTTATTTTGAAGACACAAAAGGTCCGATTTTGGTGTTATTTTTCACCGTATTATAGTAAAAAGTGACTAAAGGTAATTAAGGCGCCATTTCTTTATCTCATCTGATATTTCTTGCGCTTATCGATTTTTCAATCGTTAGAGCAGCTTTGTATGCATTTTCACCTAGACCCACTGAATGATGAGACACTCAATGTGGGGAGAAACCTGCGAGACTTGTTGTCTCGAGTTTAGGCTTTACACTATGCCATTTCGAAGCTATGGGATTATCTAGCTCTGAATACTCAAAACATGCGTCCTTTCCGCTTGGGTTGCAAAATGTCACTAAAAATGTATGTCGCATGACCCGAAGAATTCACAGCGAACCAGTACTATTACAGAATCAAACTCAAGGAAATGTACTGCCGAATTCTATCAGGTCTGCTCATTTATTTTGGTGGCTAATCTGATCACGAATATTTCAGCTCATTCCAAGTGCTTGTGAGTGGAAAAAATTGAATATCCATGTTATTAGAGTTCACACTGGAGGGGCCTGTCAGACAAATAAATGTTGAACCAAAACAACTCCCATTGCGGGCTTACCCCGTGGTGCAGCACAGCTAGTGTTTACGTCACTTGTATCTAATTGACCTTGGCGAATCTCAACGCTGTTGAAACCAGTGATGTGAAAATTAAAGGGCTGATAGATTTTGCGCGAAAGCCTTGAATCATGAAATTTTCTTAGATTCCAACTTTCTGCTTGGGAAAGTGTAATTTTATACAAACGATTCGCGTCGACTGACGCACACTGTGATTCAGGTGCTAGCGCACTTGTCTGAGTGTATTAAATGGTTTTCGGATGAAAGTCCGTTCTCCACACCGTGGGAGGTAGCTGGACCGCACCAGAAACAGAGTGGAAACTATTAACTTGAATCTTGTAATGTCAGCATCAGTGGAACTTGAGTCTCCAACATGTCACTGTTAAAAATCCCAATGAAGTTCCCCGTTTTATGTTGACCACAATCACAGTTGATCGAATTTCATGCGACTGATTGGGTCGAGAGTTGCTGTTACATAACATCTAGGGTCGACATTATTTGACAAAAATGAAAGATAAATAGGAATCTGGCTGTAATGCACAACCATTCGCAGCCATCCAATATTTATAGACTTAAGACCGCTGATAGTGTGAGGAGGCTTGAGAATTTTTGTTTTTTAAGTGAAGCTAACCTAAGCCGATCTATGTCTTATCGAATTGCAAAAAATCACAGTGGTGATAAGACACTCGTTCTCAAACAACTAGCCTGGATTTCGCGGGTTCCAGATTCCAGAGGTATCGTGAAATGTGCACTGATGGTGATTTCCACTAAGTACGCCCGGCGCTCCTTGGTTTTTTAGCATAGATTGACTTTTGTTTGAAGATAGGAGATCCCTTTTCTAATCTAAGACAAAAGGCAGACACCAGCTACCAGTCCTTACCTCAGGACTACTGTGGCCAACAAATGGGTCATCAGTCGAGACACAGGTTACCAACAATAATGTTTAAAACAGAGGCTATAATTAGCGAAGAATGAACTGTTTCCACTTCTGCTGGACACTACAAAAGACCTGGGTTTCGCCTCAGAGATAGAATGGAAATATTAATGTGATAACACGTCTTGTGTTTGTTTACCAAGCCCTTCCGAAACGACGTATGAATTATAAAGAGGCAGGTGAGGGGACTGTGTCCTAGTTCAAAGGCTGTTTTAACTTCGTGATTCCACAACCAAAAGCGATGTATTCCAAAAGAACAAAATGTATAATGCACTTCTCATAAGGTTGCTGGAAATTTTTCGACAGCCCACGACCGGTTTTGCCCTTCTTGGGGGTCATCAGGTAAACGCAGTCCCCGAGTTTCCGTCAAAATTACGTCCTATTTGAATCCAAATTGCACGAAATTAGGGAAATACACCAATTTGCAAACAAATTCGGTTTTTCAAGAGACCCACTTGGAACCCAGCTGAATCTCTCGTTCGTAATGTTTCCAGGCAAATGAATTCGCTGCACTAGGCCGCTTCATGTTTGCATCGCTACGATATTCGAGATATCGCGATACATGTATATTCGTAATGAACTAACCGTAAGGTTGCTTAAACTTCCTCCACAGCCCACGGCTGGTTTCGCCCTTCTTGGGGTTCATCGTGTAGGCGCAGTCCCCGAATTTCCGTCAACTTCATGTTCCACTTAAAAACGAATTGCACCTTCTACCAAATCCCATAAAAACAAAGCTGTACTACAAGTTGAAAAGTGCAGTCATTTACAAAACAATCTGGTTCTGCGAGAGACTCACCTTGGACCCAAATGAATCTCTCGTCCTTTTTAAGCAAAACTAAATCAACGTGAAATTGAGTTTATTTCGATATGTTCTTGCATTTTGGGTTCAAGTAGAACATAAGGTTGGTAAAAACTTGGGAGTTCGCCTACCTGATATGCCTCAAGGAGGGCAAAACCAGTCATGGTCTATCGAAGAGTTTTCAGCAACCTTATGAGCAGTATGTTACGTGATACAAGTGGTTCTCAGACTCGGTATTAGATCAGACGCTGAAAAATAGCATCGTCTCCAACATAAAGGGATACAGCTGTTTAGTGTAAGTATTATGCTGATGCCTAGAAAGTGCTACACATTAGAGATTCCGTGATAGATCAACATTCTAACGCAGCCGAATAAACTCGGCATGCGTCTAGTTGATTTCCTATTTCCCAAATAGCTGAGATTTGAAGAAATCAAAGGTCATTGAAGGTGCATTTTACTCATTTGCTCAGCTGATCAAAACCCTGTGTATAGATGTTACCGCTGCACTTAAAAGCTGGAACTTTTTAGTGACACCTACAACTGAAAATAGATTGATTATTATGGACGGTTTAGCTGTGGAGTAAAGACAAGCCCTATGGTGGAAACTAGTCAATAAGTGTTGAGCGTGTGCTTTGTAGCTCATCTTCATTTGAGGTTTGGTTATTAAGTCCGTTACTCAACCCTACAACTATACTTTCACTATATGACCATTTTTCAGGTTGCACTAGAGCCTCTTCACGTTCGTAACGGTGGGTTTTCTCTACGGCCGTATCGTGCAAACACAATGAATTTATTTTATCTTGGATATCAGAGGAATAGTAACAATCAGCGTGAGCACAACTATCTCGTTGTGTGTATGGTAATTCTCTAGTTTCGATGTCTGCGCAGTAAGTTTCTGCTACCATCTAAAACTGCAAACAAAATTGTCTTCTCACCCGAGGTAAAACTTCCCTTTGATTCCCCTAAACCAAATGAACCTTTGAATTGCAATGACCACAACATTTTATAGCTTCTGTGAGCCACACAGACACGCACACAACGTATAACCATCCATCCTGTCGACCGAGTTTGGCAAGTATCTTTACCGGAATCACATTTGATTTCGTTGCTATCCACCTAATCTCCACCTCTAATCCGATCAGGGACATGTAAAAATCCCCAAAGAATTGGTGAAATGTCTCAAGCATTCGCTTGTTCTCCGTCTGTGTCCTAAGATGATGCTTTCGCTGCTCCATTCTCTCACACCTTCAAAGAATCTTTTCGTAATCTTTTGCCAACTGGAGAATGTTGACTTCATATACCATGATAGAATTTCCTCATAAAATTTCCCTCCAATCGGTCAATCCGCGAATACATTGGAGCTGTGGAACCAAGTGCATATCACTTTATCACAAAAAATCTGCTGTTCTAACTGCTCCAGTCAAAAAAGCGCAAAACATACCGAAACGCTCAATCCTTGGGGCGATGTCCCAAGTTGTGTGGGTCTTTTTTTGTACGAAGTTCAAAAACAATTGGATTTAAGCCTATTTTGCAATGACACATTAGTTTCCTGTTTTGTTTTTTGCAAAACTTCGGCTCTCCTACCGTGAAATTACTGGGGACCAACAATGTTGCGAAATGTCACAGTTGAAAGGCTTTTTTTTAATTACTCTTATCTTCGGGCTATATTTCCAGACATTAAACTAAGTGGGGAAGTAGACGCCTTCAGATAATATTTATAAGTAGTCACACCGTATTATTGTAGGGATTTCCTTAACTGTGGAGGAGGCAGGTAAAACTGCAATAAAAAATAAATATTTACCTGTAGACTCGGCAGGGCATTTAGTTCTTCTAACAAACATTGCACCACCATAAAATCATGGCGACTAACAGCCAAATGAAGTGGAGTTTGGCGCAACGCGTTTCGTGAGTTCACATCTGGAGTATCGTCTGCTTCGGAAAAGTTAATTGTGCGTATTCCTTCCACCAAGCTACCAACATCGGAGTCGGCTAGATTAACTTCAGACTGATTGGAGTTTTCTACATCGGTAACTGGTGACAGTGATCTGCTGGGGTCACAGCGTTGTCTTGGAGCCAACAGAAGCCGTAGAATACTGGCGTTCCCTCCTTGTGCAGCTGCGTGTACCGCCTCGTTTCCGCACCCATCTCGTAACTGCCTGTTTGCACCGAACTGGAGCAGCACTGATACACATGCCAAATGTCCTGCGTCACAAGCTGCATGAAGAGCTGTTGTGCCCGCAAACGTGGCGTTCACCTGGTCGAAATCAGATGGCAAGGAACCAAATTAAGTGGCAGTTCAACTGTCTAATACTTAAAAATTTCGGCGACTTTAGGCAAGAAATCAGTAATAAATGATGCAAGAACTCGGGGATTCAAAACTAAGGTAGTCTGTTGGGACCCAGGGGCGCTGCATCATGGGAACTCTCTTATCTTTATCTAGGATCATCAACTACGCCCAAGGGGATCGAACATGCGAAACTGTTGCTTTCACACTGTCCCAATAAATCGACAAATAGTTCGACCCCGTTTCACAAACAAAAAGTACGGAAACGTCACCCAGTGTGAGAATGAAGGTGGTCGTTGTCTTACAAGGATTATCACCAGTAATGTGGCGGGGTGTGATCGACACTGAGGAGCTATTCTCAGGGCATTCTAATTTTATCGGGATTATGGATTTTTCAACACTCGGCTATTTTGTGATACTCAAATACCGGTGAAAGGAAGAAGGCTTCCGCTGCGGAGTTATTTATTAGGAAATGCTAAATGACCGGTTACAGACCACTGGACAGGGAAACGAAACTCTTATTTGCCATTTTATTTACAAAAACTGGACATCTATCTTCTCCTGAACGCGTCTTCTTGAACTTTCCTGGATATTCATTGACTCCAATCATTCATCGCTCAAATTCAAGCAAATGTTACAAAGCGACTCCACAAATTCCGCAACAGATCTCCCTTCTTCAAAAGACACAAAGTGAAATTCTACGAACAACACATACTATTCGCGTGCCTCCACATCAGTAGTATCACCATTACGCTGGTATTTATTGCTGGTGCACCTCTATCAATATGATGATGATTGTAACTGTCCAGAAAATTCTATGGAGTCTGTCAAGTGATGCTTACTGTATGAACAGAAATAATGCAATAAAACCAATTCAAAACGTTTCGCTGTCCATTTGTCCTTGGATCACGTGCTTCTCCAGTCAAAATCACTCCTTTTTTCCGTCTAACAGGTGAGTAATTAACAAGCCAAGCCAAATACACGGGTTCATGAACGGCCATGCACATTATGTATTCATTGGCGCGTGTTCACTGAAAACTTAAAGGGATAGTCTACCGTCAAGGTTGTCTTGCATAATAAACCGTTTCCTTTAGTCATTACCTCAAAACTACACACAAACCGATAAGCGCTTGCATCAAACCCCGTACGCCGCATGTCATGTTTCAACGTTTTACCATTCACATCGTAAAAATCACATGTATTCTGATTATGGCGGTAAGAACTATGGTGCAATTGATAGCAGAATTTGTAGTCTAAACCAATGTGACGATCAATTCAGGAAAATTACTTATCTAGAAATATTTTAGTAGCTAGGCTTCCATTCACGCAATCTCCTGATGAGCAACATTTAGTTTAAAATTTAGTCTTCTCGATAATTTTTGATATACTGCCACTAAAATTACCATAATCAAAACACGGGAACTTTTCATAAACTGCTGTAAACTATTGAGTAACGAATCTGACGAACTGTTTCTAATGTAAATTAAAAGATGAAGCACGGCGAAAGAAATACCTCTATGTTACAGACATCACCAACGTAGACGTAACGTACTATTCAGATAGGCCTAAAAATATCCAACAAAAATCCGAATAACTAACAGAGTCATGTTCGTCCCCTTTTGGGGTTAAAAAGGTTCTAAAATTCTGTCTACCAGCAGTTCGGCAAATTTCCTCTTCTAACTTCATTATAACGTTCCGAAGGCTGGACAAAATCTTCAAAATCTGACTATGTATCAAAACTTGTCCGCAGCAATGAGATTGGGCTGCGTTCTGCAGAACGAAAAATGAAACAAGTTTGGCTCGTTCACACAACCCACACAACTCAAATGCAAAATCAGACCGCAAAATCCTCTGTTCGACTCGATTAGTAGAAGCAGGTTAAAACTAGGTTCAGAAAGAATGTTTTGACTAACTCTTTTGGGACACCAGTTATAATAATGTCTCCAAATCGACCACCGAGAACTTTGTTTTCTTTGCTAGTGACAAGCTCATTTTCTGGGATGCCTGTGCAAAAAAGAACCAACAGACATTTTAAGGTGTTAAAACGTCTGGCATCGCATTTAACCACTCCTGAAAAAACGAGGACATCCTGACCCACCTAAGAAAAGTCATCTGTTGCCGAGATTGAAATAGTTTCTATGCTCACATTTCCGCTATACAAGAATGAACAACAGGAATTTCTTTAAAAGCTTACCGTTTAGTCTATCCGATGTGTTTGCAAGGACGCCCTACAATATCTGAATCTCCACTGGAAATACCTGCGTCTCTATCTAGCTAAGCCGAAGGAGGTAAATTGTGAATAATTATTTCTATATAACCGTTAGGGTAGTGATCTATCATCACCACACAAAAACTGTAATGCAACTATGAGACATGTTCAACAATCTATTGTCCAATGAACCCAGGTAAAAAGCAAAACAGCTTAAAGTAAAACGAGTCTGTACTTTGTACTTGGACAGCTATTGCTCTCGCATTAGCTAATTAAAAATCACCAAATGCTTCATGTTGGTGGCCCCCATGAGAAAAAATTGTATTGAAACACATTTTCTTAGATAAATATTTCTCCTTATTGAGATTTCCAAATATGCCGACGCTATATCCACATCATACACCTATAGCGTCAGCATGGTTTACACCCAAATCTGAAGTGAAGTGTGTATCAAGCTACAGTAGGGGCTGTTACGTTGCATGGCTGTGAGAGTTGGCCTATTCGAGCAGCGGAACTGAGACGTCTTCAGGTGTTCGACAATCGTTGTCTCAGAACCATAGCTCGTGCGAGTTGATGTCGGCGAATCCGTAACGAGGCAGTTAGAAAGCGCGTTTTCGGTTGTGTAACGGGTACTTCCATTGAAGAACGTGTCCAGCACTAGAAGCTGCATTGGTTGGGACATGTGTTACGTATGCCGAACCGCCGTTCGCCGAAGAGAGTGCTGTTTTCCATGCCCAACTCAGAGTGGCGTAAACAGAGAGGTGGCCAACCCTTGACCTGGCAGAGGAGTATGAAGGAGCTCACGAAACGCTCGGTGTTACTCGCCTTCCAGGGTGGGGACCGCGTGATACTCACTGTGCCTGGTTGGAGACACTACAGGATATGGCTGCCAACTGATGTCAGTGGCGTTCTTGTTGTCAGTTTTTATCCAGATTGTCTGAGTGAATGTCTGGAGATTTAGGCACCTCGGAATGATTGTGGTAAGCTAGCACTAAGTCCCTTTTACGTCCACCTTTATTCTTTTCTTCACAATGAGGCTTTCAAATAAACCATGGTTGTACGGCAGTGAAGCACCAGTGTTGAACACTGATGTCATGCTGTCGATGATGATAATGAGACCCACATCATACACCCTAAGCAAACCACACCAGTAAGATAGACTTACTACAGACACCCACCGTACGGCAGTGAAGCATCAGTGTTGAACACTGATGTCATGCTGTCGATGATGATAATGAGACCCACATCATACACCCTAAGCAAACCACACCAGTAAGATAGACTTACTACAGACACCCACCGATACAATTCCGGCAAACTGGAACTGTTCAACAAACATTTGATTCTTCATCACCAGATGACTAGTGCTGTGACACAAAACTGATTGACCTCTACAACTATTTATCTGTAGCGTCTATACTTATTTTTGTCAGACTCGACAGAATCGGGTAGCATGCTTCAAAAATCACTTAGTTAACTGTAACACGAAGCGATCAAGAAAATTTGAAAAGTCTTCTAAAGACTGGTGCTCACCATTAATTTGACATATACATAAGCCGTTGAATAGAGCTTGAACCGACTAGCATTTTATGACACAATTATTTTCCGAACGCTCTCGTGCAAGTCATGGAAGCAACACACAAATAGATGTACAGAAAAATAGTAGAAATTTGAAATCATCATTTTGTACGAGAGGCACAAAATGTGATCGTCATCATCAACAGCATGACATCAGTGTTCGGCACTGATACTTCGCTGCCGTATAACCATGATTTATTCGGAAGTCTTATAGTTATTAGCAGCCATATCTTGCAGCGTCTCCAACCAGGCACAGTGTGTATCACGCGGCCCCATCCTGAAAGGCAATTATCACCGACAGCACTGCTTTGCGAACTCAAGAACTGGCCACTACTCTGCATCCGCCACTCTGAATTTGGCACGAAAAACATCACTGTCTTCCACAGACGATGGTTTGTCATATGCAATACATGGCCTATCCAACGCAGCTTCTTGTGCTGGACACACTCTTCAGTGGAAGTTTCCGTTGCACAACCGAAAACTCGCTTTCTCGCTTCCTTGTTCCGGATTTGCCGACACCAACCGACACGAGCTATGATTCTTAGACAACAGTTGTTGAACACCTGAAGACGCCTCAGTTCCGGTGATCGAACAGATCAATTCCCACAGCCATACAACAAAACGTCAGTATTGTATCCTGATACACACGTCCCTAGAGATAATAGATTACGTATCATGATAGGTACCGCTTTTGATTAAGTTTTTGTGGGCATAAAAAGCCTGGCCCTATTCATGTAGCCATCAACAAGCGTAGGCACTTGCCTGTGGGATTTCATAGCTTCATAAAATGATCTGCTGACCATGGGAGATTTGGTATCTGGTGGTTGAACGGACGAGGTTCCGACAATACACAGAACTTCTGATGCCGGATTGATCCGATTTGTAACTTACCGACACATTTAAAGAAAAATTCCTCAAATTACCGCTCAAACCACTTTTTGATTGTTTCTGGGAAAACCCGGTGCAAGCGCAGCAATAGAATGTACTTGTGAGGGTTTCTAATACTTGGTCTGTACTCGGCCCTTATTATCAGACGCAGACGTGCAAAGTTGAGTTCTTTTGAGTGTTGTCGTCACGATATTTGCTGGGCTATCGGTAACCATGCCCTCTTGTATTAGCAGCCTTGGTTCAAAAGCGAATTCCATTTGTTTCTCCCCAGTGGTGATGTTCATGTCAAGCTTGCCAGAATTTGTCTGACTTGTATTGCCGGAATAAAAAATGATATAGCCAGATAGTTTAAGGGTATTGCAAGAGGCTCATCAGCACTTCTGGGGACCTAGTGACTCAGGAAAGCGAAATGCCAAAAGTGTTGTTGTCCTCAGACTTGTGGGAGAGGCGGAGGCTTGTGATTTACCCACCAGACAAATCCTTAATTAATACTTGCCACTTAGTGCGAGGCGAAGGTTTTGTCCCCATCATACGAGTCATCTGTTACTAGGTCCACGACTAGCACCTAAAAGTCCAAGGATGATTTCAACATACGTCCAACCTTCTATCTAGTTACTTGCACTGCAACGATTGCACAACAACCACAGGAGAGGCGATGCATAGCCAAAACTGTGCACTATACACGATGCAAAATTTACGATATCGCATGCAAGTGCCACCTGATGCAAAAAGGATCTAATTCAAAGACTTCACCAAAGGCAAATAAACCCAGTGAAATTTTATTTCTTATGTAAGAGGAGCAAAGCATTGTACGAGATGGAACAAACAGTTCTTGCAAACTCTTTCGTTCTTAGTCACCCTTTCTCTCTCTTCATTAATGAGGCAACAAGAACAAAATCTAACGGATACAAATAAGACGTGAAACATGAATCATCTAAGTGAATACCCATGCTATTGTCCACTTGATTACCTGGGTGAACGCTATTAAAAAAGTAGACTGCCCCCAATATTCTCCTATCTTCCTGAGTTACTAGAAAGAGTCCGACGTCTGTTCAAAAACTTTTCATGACAAAGTTCAGCGACATATACGTTGCTTCATTTCGCGAAACACCACACTTCAGTGATTGCACAATTAACTAACCTTTTCGAGTGTAAATTGCATTTTTACAGCTACCTCTTTCACAACAGATTTTAATTCTGTTTGTTATACGTTCTATTACAAAGCAACGCAACAAATTGTCAAAGACCAAAGTGCAACTGCCTTGAAGCAATAATTTTGATAAGATTGTGTATGAGCAAAATCACTCTCAATGAAGAGACGGTTGGAGACTAGTGCGGAGTACGTGACCAAATAGATACTCGCCTAGCAGAATGAATTCCGCGCAACTCCGGTAGAAGCATCTGCTAAATGACCGTAACCAAACGCTGTGTTGAGCGGGCCTTCTTCTAAGGTAACACAGAAAGCAATAAGACTTTCAAGATCATTGGCACATTTTGAAAGCGCCAACAGACCGATTTTAGTTTGGTGTCCCCGAACGTTTGTTGTTTTTCTCCTGTGCCACGGGACTCACCATGATGGGCTGTTGTACATGCTCGGTGAGTGAAGCTGACGGTCAATTTACTGGACCCAGTAAAGGATAAACGTTGTGAAAGGTAAGTGATACGGGTGTGAACAGCTATATGCTCCCGGCATCTTCTCCTTGTTTTAATGGGGTTCCTACCTATTTGTGTGTTGGACTGTACCAACTCTGCCGTAAGTTATGAAGGAAACGCCTTCATCAACCTACCGAGCTGACTGACACTTTGAGATTAATGAAAATGAATATTCTTCAATTTACTTTCTCGCTAATTTTAGGGGAAAAAATACTGAAACGTGATTGCACTGAACGTTTTTTGAAGTCAACCTTTCAGGGGTTACCAACTAAGCTAAATGTTTCAAACCTCGAAGTTCTCGAGTCACTCCTTAAACAGAATAATTTGCGATTTGTTAAAACATCGTTACGTAAGGAACTGAGATTTTGGATTATTTGAGGAGAAAAATACTTGCATATATTTTTGTTTGTTGTGCAAGAGACAAACCTAGTGCTTTTCCTTTCCCCATCGGTTTGAAAGAGTTTTCCATTTTTCCTTCTAGTTACCTGTAGACAAGCAAGTCGTTTGCTTGGCCGGAACAATTCGCCTAGGTAGTCCGCTCTCGTGGCCATTGCCTTGTAAATGTCACACATACAAAGGCGGTCATGTAAAAATCGAACTGGACGGAAAACGCGCGTGTTCATATGTTCGTTATAGTTATATTTCAACGAAAAAGTGAACAATTCTCTTGCATATGCATGCGTTTGACCCCAGTGGGGAAGCATGCTTGGTAATTATAAACTGCGCTCGGTGGGAAACATCCAAGTATGAATTAACGGCAGATTCCCCATGCCCTAGGGAGAAATCTGACGGAAGTGAATAAAGTGTACAAAACATTCATTCTTCAAAAATCCTAGCAGAGTTTGGCGCTGTGCCTGTTTCTCGCGTAAAAAATCATTTGAGTTTTGAGATTTTGCAAAGGCTGACAAGTAAGAGGTTTTTCACACTCAGCTTAGTGTCCCACAGTATCGTGTACGTGAATAAACCGTTATATTCTATGAATCAGCTTCAAGCAAATTCCAGCGGGCAGAAAATTGGTTTCCGCCGGGTAGCTCAGCTCCGAAAAATTTGCCTCAAATAAGCTTATCTTATCAAGCGTAATCCAACACAATTCGAACTATTCTACAAAGCAGCCTGCATGAGATAACCGAAGTAAACCAAAGTAGGTAAGTGAACGTTGAGGCTTATTCCATGTTTTAGACCTATATAAAGCAAAACCACTGTGGCAGGAAGTAATCTAGTGAGATTTTTTCTTTTTGATTAGATTGAAAAATTTGTAAAGTCTACTTCCGAGAGAAGTTACCCTAAGACATTGTTACAAAATTGACTCTTTTACAGTTAACTCAAAGTCCCTAATTATTCAGTTTTTGCCAAAGCAATGTACGTGCTCATTTGCAATGGCTGAAACCGTGTGACGCACACTAAACCGTCAGTGGTGGGAACAATATCAAAACGTGTACCGTGACACGCACCCAACAGATAAGTGTGACCACATGTCTTGGTATCATTAAGGTGTACTAACCCGAACGATCATGACACACAAGTGAACGGAGTGTAGTAATATCCACCGCGTTACTGCATACTTTCAGACTGCTTTGCGTAGCACGTTTTCTGATTCATATGATGCAGTAAAGTGGTCAGTGCTGGTAAGACCTGTACTCCCTAAATCTACCCTTGGTTTTAGGTGTCCTCAAGTTGAAAGCTTTCTTTCTAAAAGTTACTTACCAGCTCCAGTTGACAGTAGTTCGCAACGCCTGTTAGGGAGTATCACGTCGAAAAAATCGACTTATCCGTAAACTGCCGAAACTGAGATGCCTGTCATTTTGGCATCTTATCTTCTAAAGGTAGTCAGAATGAAGGAAGCTACTTCTTTTCTTGTTTGGAGAACAAAAATTAGCATTTTTAACCATACTGAAGTTTCCACTGGGTGGTGCACCCCATTTCTGTCTTTTTCTGGCATAAACCCTTATTTTACGAACCGCTACATCGTATTCATAGGGAAGTTTTACGTATACTACGCATAACCTGAAGGATTTGTTTGACACAATGGCTGGTCAACAAAATTGTGCACCCTATGTGAATCACTGGGGAACAGTGTCACTGTTTCTTCAAAAAAAGGAGCTCTTATCAGAATTGAAGTGTTTCAGACTTTTTTCTTATGCTTCCGTCCTCCAAAGCAGTAGAGCAGACCTAAATCGATTCTTCCTTTGGTATTGCTTCCGATTAGCTGCGGACACGATTTGCAAAGTTTTCAAAATTATTTCCTCTGTCCAAACGGTATCACACGGAGAACGTGGAAATTCTTGGTGAAACGTCTTTCGTTCGGTGTTTCAACGAATAAACTTCAAGTCATACGTACGATAGATTCCTTGATACACTTGGGTGTCACATCCAGAGGCACTACAGCATGTGAACTATTGATATAAGCTACTTGTCCACACCTAGTAGTGTATTTCTGTTCGACATACAAAGTATTTAAGTGGTCCGTTTGTGACGGTCAAAGACAGAGGCCAAGTGGACTATCAGGCTATCGGAAGATGGAGCTCAGAAGAGCGTAAACAAAAGAAATGGTCCACACCAGCGATACTTTCCTGCTGGCTGTTTCTCGCAACACTCAGATGATAAAACACCTTGCTCTTTTTCCAGTACTTCTGTAATATAGGCTTAAATGTACGGAAAGACACACCGTAGAACCGGTGTAAGAGCTATGACATCCGGAAAGCCTTTTCTTCATCAGAATTTAATCACCCATAAATGTGTTATTGAGCCCTAAGGATAGGACGTGCCAAACTCTCTTTTAAAGAAGAAATATACTTTTTAAACTCAATTAAATGTTTGATTCTCATGACCTGATGACGAGAATGTAAAATAATAGCATTCACGATAACGTGGCATAGATTTGACGAATGGCTAAGAATGAGTTTGATCGAGGACGCTTCCGGAATTTGATTGTCCTCAGCATCGTTCAGCTTGTTGAAAAATTATTTGCCCATTGTATTCCCTTTGGTCACAAACACAATATTGGGAGGAGTAAACCGCTTGTAAGTTATTAAACTAGTACAGGCGCTTTAAATTAAACTACTTAGGCAGTGAGATCACTCATTAAATTCACACCGTTGACGTGACAACAGTTTTTTTAGAAAATATGCTTTCATGAGCTTTTAGGAAATCAGATGTAGCATCCAATATTTTTTTTCTATAGGTAGATTCAAGTCACCGTACCAAAGCGACTGAATGGGAAGCAACCTTCCAGTCGGTATTTGAAAGAGTTACAAATGGTTTGTAGTTTGAGGAAGTTGAGAATTCTTATTGGGGGATTTTTCTGCAAAGAAAGATAAGCTATGAATAAAAGTTAGAAGCAGTGTACGGCTGCTTCCTCCTTATTGCAAATCACACACAGAGCGCATCTCACAAAACCCGGTAGGAGGCCTATACCCCATGACTTCCAGACCAATAGTTTGATCAGCCAACCTTTTGGCCACGGGTGACTGATTTGCAATGCAATTTGCTTGCATTTACACTGGATATGGCACCACTCACTCTGCATTCAAGGAATCCATACCATTGGTCCCATACGTTGACCGGCTGCTCCAGTAGTTTGTATTCCGAGTGACTTTTACCTCATTGGATGAATTTTCTTCTTCCTCCAAGCTTCCTATTAACTCTTGGTGGTGTGAGGAGATTTTGGAACTTATAAGTAACTTAGAGGAAGAGTAAGGTTCACCCGGTTGGCTAAAATTCCACCTAAGTAGTCGGCGCTCAAAGAACAAGGTAGAACGCGATGCGGCATACGTGAGTGAATGAAGAGTGGTGCTATATTCTACTCAAGTTCGAGGTAATCACACTGTTAAGCAGTCAACCGTGGCGGAACGGTTAACTGTTCAGATTACTAGAGTTTCTGAGTAGAAGACTTTCCGAAATGGCATAAGATTCGCACTCCAGATTATTGTTCTTTAGGATGAAACAGCTTTGCGGTGCTTCCCAGTTTTCAACATCGGTTGGCTTCATTTCACTAAGGATGATCTAGGAATACTAGGGTTGGAAAGCAGTTCAACTAGCCTGTTAAGTGCTCAGTATCGATGCTGCAAACTGCCGTATGTAGAAATTAGGGATTTTCATCTTGTTCCTATTCACACCACTCTCGTTTGAACGATCATTCTCTTGTTCTTGCGTAATTATTCTGGTGAGTCCACATCAAAGGAAAGCACTGGACTCGAGTTCCGCTCTTATTAAAACTCGTCAGCGGGTGCATATCCAACGGCCGTTCCGGGATTTGATTCGTCGTGTGCCTGCTTCCATTGCTGCACTCGCCAATCTTAAATGTACGCTCTCGTACGTCTGACGCCGTCAGGCACTCATTGGCTTCATCCACTTACTCAGTTATAGGTAAACGTAGCATAATTTCAGCAGTGAGCATTACACCGCAATCTTGACTCATCAACTGCAACACATTTATTTGCTGGATACCAGATGATGTGTAAAAAACGGTATTTGTGTAACTGCATTCGGATAATCCATGATAGACTGTGGTCTCCGGCAAAAGGAACTGCCATTTCAACGACTGCCGGTTTAACGAGTCTACAATGTGTGAAGGTGCGAGTAAATGTGAATACAACCCGTGGTATTCTAATGAAGACCACTTGCACATTTCGTAATCCAAATGAAACTCCTATAAACCCGGTCACTTTCCTTGACTTCGGCAACGAAATGAGTGCAGTTTCATGTCTGTCATTGAAGGAGGCATAATGGGGTCGATCGCATGCCAAAGCCGATTATTCCGACCGAGACTGATACCAGATAAGAGAACATTGTAACTAACATTGTAACCAGACGCGACCGAAAGGCAGATATAATCATGTGCATTGTTGGATTCAGTTGATGCATTGACTGACAAATGGTACAAACCGAGTTTCCATATCTAATATCAAACATAGTAAACTATTGTTCAGTTTAAGTAACTCTTAACAAAACTTTACCATGCTGACATCTGTAGCCTCAGGCATGTATTAACTGAACGTGCGTCCACTGCAACCTGCAAGAACGACAGCTCACCATTAGCGAAATACACTCATTTGCAGACAAATTTGGCTTTCCGACTCACCTGGGTCCCAGCTGAATCCCTCGTTTATGGTGTTTCCAAGCAAGTGAATATACGCCGGGTGATTCAGTTGGTATTTAAGAAGCCACGACGCATGCACATACGTAATGCACTACTTATAAGGCTGCTGTCGAAGAATTTCCAGCTATCTTATGAGTAGAATAACTTGCTATCATTTTTTATATTTCCTGATTCACTGAACTTTATTAAACCGAATCCTTACATGCCAACAGACCAATATAACAAATTTCTCCGTTTTATGCCGCCAGATGTCTGCTAATCAGTCACAGCGATTGTCTCGAAAACAGGCCAGTAAATTTAACTGCATATTCATAATCAGGTTCAGAAGCAGCAACAACAGTCATGGCCCTGGTGCTTCGCTGCTTTGCAACCATAAAGTCTGTTTAACTGTACTTAAAGTCTCATAGTGGAAAAAGTGTAAATATAGTGGTCAACTCATTCATGCAGCATTCAACACATTCGAGGTGCTGAGTGTGGGTTCAAACCAGGGACTCTTCGGTCAGTAGGTTGGTGTCTTATTTGCTGAGCTCTCTTCAGCTCGAAAGAAACATTCGTGCAATGTCTGCCAGCCTTACAGAATATACTGAATTGGCATTGTAGGAAGTATGCCATGTATTCCATGTTTTAGTTCATCCGCGTTCCCAGAAATGTGTGGGCTTTGTTGTCAAATTATGCAGTCGTTCATCATTGAATCCTTTAAAGCATTCAGCTCTCCCACTTTTCAGCTAAATAATAAGTTCCTTCGGAAGCTGCTGAATGCGAAAGTCCAACTCAATTCACGAACATCTAATTCTATGTCTTTACTACATATCACATTGTCTGGCCTACTGTTGTCACAGGGTATACTTAGTTCTAAAAACTGCTCACACCAAGCACCTGTTGATTTGATGGTTATTTGACAATAGACCTTGCTGGTTCTTCAAAAGATCAGAAGTTGAATTTACTTTACTTTCTGCTGACATCCAAATCGCCTAACTAGAGCACAAAGTCTGGTTCTTAGAACTTGTGTGACTTACATTCTTCTCCTTCCAGTAAACCAGTTTGCTGCCATCCTTAGACGGAAATCTGCATTTTCGACCGTTACTTGACACCGGTATACTGTCTTGTTTGAATTTCACTGCACTCATTCATCTTCGGTTCTTCCATTCGCAGCCCTACGACGTTCAAAAAATTTAGTGGTGCCTACTGACCAAACTGGGTGGAACTCTTAACTATATGACTGTTACTGTTCCGTATGTGTGATGGACACACATCAGGGTTTTCAGGCATGATATCACAGCAATCTGCTTCTACACTTGGGTCGTAGTTGGTTTCCCAGTTATTGAAAACAAAAAACCAAATAGAGTAAAACTTCAAAACATTCTTATGCCAAAGGACATTGTACCCGTAGTTTTATCACGGGATGTAGAACTACTATCTCTGCTGTATCACGTGAATCTCGGTCCGAGGGCAGGGCTGGCCTGCATCAGAACACGTTCGATAGCTTAGACCACTTGAATGGTGAAGTTGAGCGTTTTGTGTAATTTAGTCCCATGAATAAGAAAACAGTGATGTTAGATGTGAGCCTAAATACTTTTATGCTCGTTCACAGTGTTTGATCTTCGAACTCGAATATGTTTAGGGAACATGTGATTTAAAGTTCCGCTACAGGGACTATCTAATGTTTTCGGAAAAGCAAAAGTATCGGAACGTATTTTCAGAGTTTATTAAAACGTACAATCTAGAAACCTCCTTAATTCAATGATAAGTTCACTTAATTTCACTATACGAATGTGGCAGTTCAACTGACGGGTGATCTGCGGACCTCCTACACGCGACAGTATCTAAAACTCCGACGGTGGAAAAATTTGAATTGCAGACTGGATCTGCTCATTTTAAGCACGCGTTTCAGACATTCTGTTTTCTTAAAATGCTAGTGGTAGTCGCTACTACTTTCTGAACCCAAAACCAGTTCAGACCTCCGGTTTTCACCTAAGAGTGATCATTTAGTGGCAAAGTTAACCTTTTTAGCTACTGTATCAACCAGGATCCTTACCAGAAGAGGTGCCTGAGATGGTTACCTTTAATGGGGGCTCTTCTAATTTTTGCCAAAGTTTCAGGTCCCACAATGGGACTTTCATGTGTCAGGCTTGGTTTACTAGGCCGAAAAAGTGGAAAGCTTGTCCAAAATTATTCAACCATTATCATAAGACTGCTCACCTGTAAAGTGTTTGATTGTAGCTTGATTGCTAAATGCAGTTTAAAAGGCACTTTTGATCGTACTGGGCATATAAAACTCGAAGCTGTTTTCACTACACTTGTCGTAGTTATTTATTAGTATACCCATAAGGGACTATAATTTTTGTGTTTATTACCAATCAGACGCCCAAAACATGCATGGAGTCCCAATAGATTTGCTGCAGTAACTGCTTTTGTGCTGAAAACGAATGTGCCATCCTTATTCAACGGGACATTTTAGGGTCAGACGGATGGAGACTCCATGTGGTCACACTTGAAGCTGATTCTATGTAGTAGCTTAGAAAGTGCTACGCTTAGTGTGGCGGTATTTCAAGTACCGTATGCGGGTAGTTGTTTATTAGTTTGTCATTCGGAGACTGACTTCTGTTTGCTTTGAAGGCAAAGCCTATCTTGCAACCAAAGTCTATCTCTTCCTTTTGTTTACGTAGGAAATCGAGCGGGTTAACTAACAGCCATTTTTAGGCGCGGTTTGTTTAATTTACGGTTTCGCAGTCGGTTTAAACCACTTATTCCTATTACTGATACACATGTTATTCTATGGTAGCCTGACCTCTGTCTGTCCCGGTTGGTGATATTCCTTAGAGTAACTTATAATGCGAAGTTCAAATGTACACATTCCGTGGATAGTTAGACATGATTTGCACCAAAATTATTGGCAATTCGTGACAAAGGTAATCGGTATTGGAAGACGGAAGGGCGTGTACAACGATGAGTTTAAGGAACGTCACATCTGATTTGAAACTCTAAGATAACATGTGGTTGTGGATTCGCGAATACGTAACGGCGCTTGTTAGAAAGAAGATAAAGAGGTTTAGCAAAAAAAAATCGCAGATTGACACTTCTCCGCAAGATACGAGTCCCGCATATTGGAACTAGAGTGCTTTCAAAAAATGAAATTGAGCACGATGTGTAGAAATTTCGTGCGTTTTATCTGATGATTGGTAACCCATTTCAGTGGCTCCTAAAGGCTTGATGATGATGGCACTTCTCTAAGTTAAACATGACTTTCGACTACAGATGTGCCTTCTGTCGTCAAAAAACACATTCTGTGCCTGAAACTTTCTTTTTTCCCAATAGATTTGCTGCAGTAACTGCTTTTGTGCTGAAAACGAATGTGCCATCCTTATTCAACGGGACATTTTAGGGTCAGACGGATGGAGACTCCATGTGGTCACACTTGAAGCTGATTCTATGTAGTAGCTTAGAAAGTGCTACGCTTAGTGTGGCGGTATTTCAAGTACCGTATGCGGGTAGTTGTTTATTAGTTTGTCATTCGGAGACTGACTTCTGTTTGCTTTGAAGGCAAAGCCTATCTTGCAACCAAAGTCTATCTCTTCCTTTTGTTTACGTAGGAAATCGAGCGGGTTAACTAACAGCCATTTTTAGGCGCGGTTTGTTTAATTTACGGTTTCGCAGTCGGTTTAAACCACTTATTCCTATTACTGATACACATGTTATTCTATGGTAGCCTGACCTCTGTCTGTCCCGGTTGGTGATATTCCTTAGAGTAACTTATAATGCGAAGTTCAAATGTACACATTCCGTGGATAGTTAGACATGATTTGCACCAAAATTATTGGCAATTCGTGACAAAGGTAATCGGTATTGGAAGACGGAAGGGCGTGTACAACGATGAGTTTAAGGAACGTCACATCTGATTTGAAACTCTAAGATAACATGTGGTTGTGGATTCGCGAATACGTAACGGCGCTTGTTAGAAAGAAGATAAAGAGGTTTAGCAAAAAAAAATCGCAGATTGACACTTCTCCGCAAGATACGAGTCCCGCATATTGGAACTAGAGTGCTTTCAAAAAATGAAATTGAGCACGATGTGTAGAAATTTCGTGCGTTTTATCTGATGATTGGTAACCCATTTCAGTGGCTCCTAAAGGCTTGATGATGATGGCACTTCTCTAAGTTAAACATGACTTTCGACTACAGATGTGCCTTCTGTCGTCAAAAAACACATTCTGTGCCTGAAACTTTCTTTTTTTACTAGTATGGATTCCTAGGGTGGGACACTCCTAGTGGATTAGTTCAGATACTCACTTCAACATGGGGCGGCTGTTTCTAGAGGTTCTTGAGGTTGCCTCTTGAATATATATATATATATATATATATATATATGTATATATGTCGGTGGTTCTTGAACGAATGAGATTATATGCCTGTAGACAACTTTACCGAATATAAATGATCATTGGATGTGAACGCACTGTACTCAAGGTAATCCAAACCAAAAGTTGGTTATCGGTTCCTATCTTGTTGCTGTAACAAGTAAACTTCACCATGTGCCATGTGCGATTTAAGGTCGACAAAAAATCATTACGTCCCTCCTTGATATTCCGTTTAAACTCACTTCTACTTTTGGCTCTCCAATAGGGACTTTCATCCCAATTTCTTTACAAGTATGCACAGCGGGCGTATTCTATAACCGCCAATTGTCATTGTTTTGTTAAAATCTTGCCGGTAAACTAAATTAAGTATATCCGAGAACCATATGTTGATAACCCCCCCACTCTCTCCAGCCTTCCAACGTTCTACTTGAAACTACATTGCACAGAACTCACTAAATATCCTCATTTGTCTACGAATTTGGTTTTGGTGGGAATCTCAGTTGAATTTAGCCTAACTGCCCACTTGTAATGATCTTCTTCAGTTGAACGTGCAGCACCAGGCTGCCTCGTGTTTCACTTTGTACGAACTTGGTGACACCAATATATATATATTCAAAACGGAGATTCACTGTCGCCTGGAGCACCGTATTACACACCAAATAAACTGGTAATCAAACTGATAGTGCAGTGGACTCACATTGACATGTCGATGTTGAAGAAGACATTTCAACCGTTTAACGTTTCCCTCTGCAGCAGCACGAATTAGATCTTCGTTTGTCTGTCCAGTCGACAGACGATATTGCAAACGTTGACAGGCTGCAAATAAAAAGGCAAAACAGTCTGTTAGATAACTTTAGATGAACCAAAACTGAAATTGATCGGAGAGGACTATTCTCTATTAGTCGGTTGTACATGGGAACCACCCTACTGAGCCATCCACGTGGATTAAACCTATAGGGGTCATTATTATTTAAACCCATTGGCTTGTGGGGTTAGATGTGACCTCAGATAGTCCAATAAACTATTACAAAGAGTTAGCCTTTCCACCAAATCCTCCGCGCCAGAGCATAATTCACGAAAAGCAGTCATTTTGGACATGAAAATGAACATGGTCAATGCAAAATATCATGTATTTGGTGAATGAAAATTGGTCGAGTTGAAAATCCCCCTGAACTTTTCGTGACACTAAGGTTTTTATCTTGTTCTTCAACAAAAAGCCAGACTCCGATGAAATTTAAAGATCTTTTCTTCTCCATAGGATTGTCCCAACACAACTTGTTGTGAGTTAAGCTCCCAGGAAAAACAGGACGACGTAATTTAACTGAAACAATCAGCACTCATACTGCATCTTATCAAGCCCTGGGCATTCTTAATTTGGCGCCAAATTTCTGCACATTCTGCGGACCCTCAACAGGAATTCCGACGTCCCGTAGTTATAGTATTTATCAACAGAATCTTTCAGTCGGAGCAAGAAACTTCCGTCACTTCGTTCGAATCAAATGGTTAGGTCTTTCACTGCGGTACTGTCCTCCATATGAAGGTCGTCATTTGCCAGGAAATACGAACTTATGACCAGTTAAACATGCGGACCTCTCTATACAACCTCAGCTCCCACTCATTAACTTAGACTGGCACGCGCTCGCTCGTTGCAATAAGGCTGTTGTGTTCCCTGTCGGTGAGTCCTTTTCTGGCACCAAGCATTGGAGTGAAAACAACAGTTAGATATAACATATTGATGGCACTCGAAACCACAGGACCATGACAATAACTGCTGAAGAGTTGAAAGAAATTTTGCTGCAACAACAAAATCAGTTTGAAGCGAAACGATCACCTACCTATTTTGAATTTCTGATGCATCAGTCTGCACCTTAGCTTTTTGCTTCTGCCGCTGACTCATGGCTACGGTTTTTAGGCTATCGTTCTGTAGATCCAACTCCGTACTAAAGAGGAAACCTAGTGCGAGCCATATCTGACCACATACTGTTTTACTTGTCTAGTCTGAATAGATCGAATGTTACTTTTAAACAGTCGGAACCGAATAATCTCATACTTTCAGTTATAATGGCAAGAAGATTTTTTAAAATAGAACAAACAAACTTGCAAGACTGATCCGTTGGAATGTAATACACAAGCATTTGCGCCTGTTTGCCAGATCAGTTTTTCCACAATGAGGATTCAAATGTGGAAATCAAGATGATTTCAGTGGAAGTCAAAGTGACTGTTACTGTTTTACGGATTCTCGGAATGTGCACATCCAACTTTGATCTGAACCACACAGAAAAAAGTCCTATTCTGCAAAAGTTGAACAATGTACTTTAACCTAGCAGATAAGTATGCATAGAGTAATGAGTAGTGAAAAGCCCTTTACTGGCATTTTTCTGAAGGATCTCTTTTTGTGCATTGAGAGAAATCCTGTCTTCATTATCGGGCTGATAGAGTTTTCAAACATCCGAACTGCACAGAGATCAAACGTGAAAGACTGAATTTTCCACCAAAGCACGTTTTAGTTGTGACGTTTTTCCGGTGAGTGGCTGACAAGAACCCTGCAGGGGACGTTAAGAATGAAATATTTCCGGATTGCCCGAAAGTACACATACTAACCTCTTCTATCTACATCCTCAGAAGTTGCTTCTGTATTGGCGTTCACCGATTCTAACGTGTCTGTTGGATCAGCAACGGCGCCGTGAAGTTGATTGTATACACCATAAATCATACGCGGAGCCTGCTCGCGGCGACTGTGTGTGGCACGGGAATTAGCTTGGGCATTGGAGCATGAGTGCTGCTCAGTCAAAGTCAAAGCATCACTATGATTGCACACTCCTCCGATCAAAGTATTGTCGTTTTGACTGGTTATTGGGCGCGGAATAAGCGTGATCACCCGTGCACGATCGCTCCTGGTTGTCTGGAAAGGGGCAATGAATCAAAAAAAGCAAGCAGTGAGAAATGTCCCTATGTCACACTTATCAGTCCTACAACGTGACGGGGAAAAAGCATATGCAACGATAATCGGACGAGGTGGACAAACTCCTCATTACTCGTTTACACTTTGGCATGTACAAAAATGGGAGACAAGCAACTGTGAGGTGGTTAAATGCCTATCGAAATGGAGATCACTAGCCATTCTACCTGGGTCTGTATCGCAACACAAAGTGCCTGCAGGTTACATACAATGTGTTTGCTACATCAATAGACATGATTAATCAGCCTGAAAGGGAATCCTCCTATTCAATCGTATCTCACCAGGAAGTCATTAAATATCCTTGAAAAATATTAAATGCATAATCACTTTTGACCAGTTTCTCAGCCGAATGGGCAGTGCAAATGAATGACCCTCAAGGACACAAAATGTCGGTCTGCAGCTTTACCAGGGGATTAGGCTGGATGCAAATGGAATGAAGATTGGTTGTTTCAAATTCAACTCAGTCTACATCTGCAGGTTTCAAGGGCCATCCGCCAAAAGTTCGCTTATATTGCCTGAAAACGTAAAAATAAAACTATCTTTTCGCAATGTAACCAGACTAATAATACACATTGTTCCGCTGGTCATCCATATCTATAAATTTTATTGTCCAAAGCTTTCACAAATGGCAAATTTGTGAAAAGTAACTTGAAAAAAACTGAAGCCGCGTATCTGTATTACTTCTTTACTAACATGAAGTCAGAGCATTGACTGCTCTTTAGTTGTGGCTTAAAATGAACCGCGTGGACGATGTGGAGCCGCGTTATCAATACTCATGCAGGAACGTTTAGCGACTAATTTTGAAAAGTCCTATGACATCACGTCCAATTATTTTGACCGAAATATGGTGTTGCCCTGTCACAATAGCGAATGATATTTCGCATGGGTCGTTGTCCTTTCGAAATTGCCTACCTAAAAACCCTTACAGAAAAGTCAACCAGTCCGCACAACCAAGACGGTCAGCAAATAGTAGTCTGAGCGGCCAAGCAGAACTAATTGCACAGCTCAAACCTGTACAGATTATTCTGTTTGAACCTGATAATTTAGATGCGTACAACGCGCGCTAGTAGAGTGGTGATAACGTTTGCCTCACATATCAGGTGCCTAGGATACATATCCAAGCACAGCTAACAAAACGCCTTACTGATAAGCCGTAAAATTGGATTCAGGGCTTCTCCGTTTTGGTAGGGTGTCTACAGCGTAATTTCACCGAGAGAAGGAACAACCCCTGTATATATGCATGTCGGAAATTCATGGCTTCTGACAAAGCTCTTTTAAGGTTTGTTTTAATCGAATCAGGGGATTCAGCTAACTATGTTAGAAAAAACCAATTGAGGTTAAAAATCACCCATAGAGAGGAGATGGAGAAGGACGCTAAAATAAAGCCAACACGTGTTTCAGTCTATGGATGAACTGCAAACGTTTTGCTATGGAGACCAATTTCGAACATGTTAGCTTAGTATCGTGAGTCAAATATTACCGGAACATTTAGCAAGAACACAGTTGCAAGGTACAGGGTGGCATCATTTATATTTTTAAAGATGTCCAATTTTTAATTCAGTATGTATACTATTTTTCTTCCTTCCATTCCAGGATAAGAAACCACCTGTCAGAGGCAAATACGTTTTGTTGGTCCTTCAGGATAGTTTCACCACAGACAATCAACCGCAGGATCAACGACATATTTGATCTATTGTTACAAGATAATGATACAGCAAAATAAGTTATACTGTTCTGAACTCAAAGCATGGTTATATGCTTACCGGTCTCCGCGCAGGCTGAAATTGTTGGTGCTGAACTCTAACAGAACCCGAGCTATCCCGTTCTCTCCTGTTGGATCGGGAAACAACAACAGCATTGCCGGAAGCTTGACCGTCATGTCTACTCGGCCGGTTCTGAGTATGAACCGATGATGGGCTGGCTACATTCACTCTCGAGCTTGTCTGGGAACGTGGCTGTGCTGTTGAACTTGGCGCTGTACGGTTCTCTGATCCAGACATTGATCCTGAACGCAGAAGATCAGTCAGTAGGTTTCTCGCCGTCTGGCCTATGGTTCTCAAACTCCCGCTGGATGCGGCCGAATTACGAGTTGTAGAATAATCATCTGTCTCTCGATCTCTTGTTGCAGCTGCTGTTTGGCGGCGTCCTTGGCCACAACTATCAGTAGAAGATGGCTGGATTTGTAACCGGCTTGCCAGTGTACACACGTTGACGCAGTTGGTCGGTACGTTGTCATGAGCTGGGTTTGCTCGCCGTGGCACTATTCGATCTGACGTTGCTTCTCTGGAAGCTGTGTGACGGGTGACATCTTCATTAGCTTCGTTATTGTTTGAAACGCGGTGAGATGTCCGGCTGTCCTGAGCGAAACTGGTTGTCTGTCGACGCCGCATTTCCAATTCTTGCAAATTTGTCCAGTTGGGAACCACAGTATTCCTGCTCGAGTCACGACAGTTATCGATTATATCTTCTTCTCCCGGAGAAATCGCTGCTTCCGCTTCTCTGGTCGTGGCTGATTCTTCATTGGTACATCCTCTTAGATCAGCCAAAAGTGGTAGATGGTCTATATAAAACGTACCGCCTTTCGCCGGACGAATGGCCTGGTGGAAGAAAGTTGGATAATGCTTAAATTTAAAAGCTGTTCCATTAAGGTCACATTCACATGAAGTGACTACCTTTGAGGGCAAATGTTTCAACACTACTCCGTTCATTCAGATTGTGCAATCCCAACACAGAAATGAAATAAATCGAATTAAACTAAAATGCTGATAGTTTCAAACCAAAGGGAAAATGTGCGCCCCATATTTTGGACAACTCTCAGCTCTTGAAAAGCTTGTTCACTTTTCGTCAAACTTTTACGGACTTTCAGTCCAAGTTCCATGCGAGTCATCCAAGAGGTCTCTGAAATAAATCTCCAGTTTCTTATCGAGTTGAGATTTTAGCCGAATATCACTTCGAAGACCGGCGTACGATAGTACGACGAATCTGACCTGACTGCCAACCAGGTAGCGTACTAGTGTGGTTGTGAACTAGTTGCAAACCAACCGGTGAAAACGGGAGCGTATGGACGACTGGAATAACTAAACGATTGCTCTTTTCACTTTTTAATGGCTATAAGTTACTTTGTGACGTTTGATTTTGGTTTTTTGGTCAAATTTATAACTCCGCATTTGTTGAATTGGCGATAATTTATCTTCGGTCTATAGATAAATGTACTTTTTGTGTTTCGATAAACAATATTTCCTGCTAAGTGTCAGCTAAGTGCTAAGCGTAAGAACCGACCACGGATTGGACACAACTTTCTTGACCATTTCTGAGTCTTGATAAGGACTGCTGACGCCTAACCGGAGGCTACACATGACACTTCTGACACATGCGGATAAAATGTTCAGAGCTGTCTATCCGTTGTCGCGTGAGCATACCACCTTGGTGCTGCATTCTCCAGTGAATCACTGAGTGTGCTTTGAAGATCCCACCTCACCTACCTACGTCACACTTGTGCATCCTATAATTTCACTGGCAGTCTCCTTGAACTTTAGATGACGGATGGATTCCTGAGTTGGTGCACAACGAAATAGTCATATGTGATTCTATTGTATTCCGGCACATGAATCCCTGGGTTTTGCTGCGTCTTTTTATTATGCACTGCATATGACTATCTCCATTATCCCCAATACCTCGCTAACCATACAGCTGGGTTTGGTAATTTGTTTTGCATTATTTGGCTTGTTGTCCTTAATTTTTCTAGAGAAACTATTCACTTCAAACAGAAAGTGGCAATTAACAAAAAGTGGCAACCTAGTTGGCGGTGCCTATGTTCAGCCACGGATAATGGCTTTGGTTTTAGATGAGGACAATTTTTCATGTGAAAAACACGATGATATTGGGTTTGCATTGTTTAGCGTCCTTCCCTCAAATCCAATAGGATTCGACACGTAGATCAGCATGTCAAATGAATGTGACTAGATGTGTTTATTCACCTTACACTTTGAGAAGAGTGTACGTCAGGAAGGATTTCTTGGTCCTGGAAAAAAACCTTCCCGCATTCACATCATTTTGTCTGTTATTCGGAGCAGAACCTGTGAGTCAAAAGATTACTACGCAAACTCAGCGACCAGGGGACTATTATCTACCTCTAACCAAATCACTCACCTTCAGGTCAATCAGACCAGCGTAGCCAACACGATACACGTTGTATGCTCCACTGTCCCATGCTACCAGGGCAGCAGACCTTGGCGCCCATGGGTACCAGTCTCTCCGATCAGTTATCCGGCCCTGAGTTGGTAAAAGAATCGGACCGGCAGATGTCCGGTCACCCACCGATCGCAAAAAGCCCCGGCAGTTTGCAGAAGAGTTGGAGGCGCCAAGGAGTAGTGACCCACTCCCAGTTGATGTTAGTGGGGAAACACAGTCCTGACTATCCCAGCTCCAATCTATGCCACGAACAACACGTGCTTTAGGGAATAGACCTAAAGATTCGACGCGACGTTGTTTCAACCGACGGCCAACAATTACTCTGGAAAACCAAAATTTAGGATACGCTGAGCTTCAGAATGATGGGCTTCAACCAAAACTTGAAATGAAGCAAGCAACGCCATTTCCTTCCTTATTAACAATGTTAATTCCAACTTTTACACTTCTATTGTGTGGTAACTATCTGCCTCTGTGACACGCTGGGACCCAAACAACCATTGCACCTATTTCTGACCTTTGATTAAATGAAAAATAACATGAATAAACGTAATACCTATTTAAATGACATCTGGTTAGTAAGCTGATCATTGGTTTCTGTCCGACATATGGGTGGAATTATGTAGCAAAAGTAAAGTCGACAGAAAAGTATCTAAAAGCAACAAAAAGACCTTGAGCATGAGTGGTGTTCGTCTTGTTTTATCCCATCTGCTTACGTGTAACCTTGTCAAAAATACAGTATCATTTACAAATTCCATTCTTCATTGTGATTTCTTGTTATAAGCGATAATTTATACAGTAAGCACATTCAATTGGAAGAAACCCCGACTTCTGGACCCTGTTAAGCTACAAGTATAGTGTTCTCGGTCACTTCTATGTTTTTTTCCAAATGAGCCTTAGAAATTACCCCTTGTCTTCAATTCCGTTCTTGATCCCCCGGGTTTACACCTGGTGCCGAGTGTCCAGATGGATACATACGTGGCTCAGCACAAGCCGTATATAACACCATCCATTGTGCGCAGGTATCCGCCGGGTTTTTCGACGTAAGTGTTCAATCCGTCAACCGCTCCTTAGTCAAAAACGAATGTCAAGGTTTCAAGTGAATAGACAGTCTTGTATGAAAATGCAAAGATAATTTTCTGGATGGTGTACCTGTGACGATTCCGTTCGTTGGATAAACGGAACCGTCATGCAGAGTGGTTACAGATGGTCGAAAAAGCGCAGCTTTATCATCACTGAGCTCCTGTTGTCCATTTTAATTTTAATGCGTCAACAATGCTTCATCCCACCTCCTATCGGAAGCGTTGAAGTAGCACATGACACCAAAATTCCCATCTTAATCGCAGCTTTCCTTCATGTACTATTGTTCTGCTTCAAACCTTGGCTCCTCTCAATTCACCGTAAAATACACACCTCTCGGTTCCGGTAGCGAACGAGCGACAGAAGAAAAATGACCGGGTTTCCAAAAGCCATTGCATCAATCACTGCATCAGTACTCACGGGTGTTGGAAAATTCTCTAGATCAGAAGGCGGCTTTATAACAAGGCTGCACATGAGAGGACGTGCGTTGCTTGGTTGCTTCCTCCCCGAAGGAAAATCAATTTAAACTGGCTACTGACGTATACAAGTAGTTAACATTCACTGCAGTTGTCTGCCACCCTACAGGCGACGAAAATCCTATTAAAGTAGGATTTGGCCGCCATAAAGCTACTGTATTTAGAGCTGTCATTCCATAGAGTGATTACACCCATAAGTGGCCATCCTCTATCGAACGGCAATATCCTCGGCTTCCATCAAGGGTGTTCAAAATACTCGGGAACGGTGATTCGGTAGCATGAGAGTATTCGTAGTATTTTCAACCCAGAGAAATACGTCATTTTTACTTCGCCACAGTAAACCCACTTTGATCATGATCACCAGAAAGCTTCTGGATCCGATTGAATGCATGCAGTCCCCTACAAGGACGTCGAGGCAATATAATTACCTAGTTCGACAAAATTGAAAAATTTGTTGTAACGGAATTTTCAAACCTAAAAAAATGTAACAATTAGCTGGAACTATCCGATCAACTGACATACTTCACTAAGAAAGCTTAGTGTTTTATAACTTTGGGCGTACGTTCTTTACATCTTTCTTCCTTGCACATCTACTGTACTAGAGTTGCAATAGTCTATATAATACCTTGATTGCAAGGGTCCCGCGAAACGGACCTATCGTGAAACACAAAACCTGGGAAACCTGTGTACCACTGTCACAATGCGACATGTTCTACTGTCACCATCAAATGCTCTGCCTAACTGAATGCTATCCCAGTATGTGTACAGGATCCTGTTCTATAAAAAATCCAACTATTCATTCTGAATGTTTTTTGTCTTCCTACGTCTTCCCCAATATCTATAAGGCAATGAACCGTTGGAGCTCTACACTGAAACCCCCACTTTTGATAGTAATGGTCATCTCCCTGGAGCTTCGTAGGATGTATTTTCCTCCCTAATAAGAACCCACCTGACTAAGGACGATGTCAGCAATAAGCAGGCCGCCACTTCTTGGCCAAACTAGTTTTGAAGACGTCCTTATGTTGTTATCATCTTCGCGGAATTCGCGGGTACTTGTATTTTAACCTCTTGTGAAGCTGTGCGCGCCCAACTGTTGACTGTTCGCCCTAAGGGTATGGGACTTTGTTTACATTCACAGCAATTAATTTCATCTCCCGTTTTTTATATAGTCACCGGTTTCTACAACCGCATTACAATAAACTTCAGTAGGAGTCAACCCACTCTTGAGGACATTTCTGAATTACCGGTGAGCTTGTCCCTGAAATTCTTTCAGGAACTGAGGACAATTCACTAACCCGAACACTGGTTATGAAACATCTCATTCGTAACTGACGGATTTCTTACCTGGTAGCTACCCTTATTCATCCTGGGTGAGCAGGCTCAGAGTATTGGCGTTCTGTTGCAAATTCATGTTTTAACAACAGTGTGACGACAGGTACATACTGATTACATGTCGAATTTTATTCCTGTGCAGATTCACCGGAGCCTGGTCTCGTGACCGATCATGTAGGCAAAATGTAGGCAAAACATTTACGTTTACAGGAGAAGGTTGTCACGTGAGCTATGCCCCAAAGAATGGCGACCGCGACAACTGACGCATGCGAAATGCTTAAGTTCTCCTAGCCGCCAAACATAAAACCGGAACCTTTAAAACATCCATCAAACTTCTACTTCTCAGACGCCTACTCGCGTTGAACCTTTTATCCAGTCATGTTTTACTCACATATACTGATGTAAGTCCTTAGTGCATAGTCTGACATCAGTTATCGCGCCTTCACAGAACGTCAAGCCGATCTAAATTCGCCGAAAGTTGTGAGTACTTTTTTTGAAGCTGAGCCACTAGGCGATTTATTAGGGCGTAACAAACGCCCCTGAAGTAGTGAGGGTGATGAAGACCACACTGTTCCTTTGATTTGCAGGGAAGAATTGCAGTACCCACAGCCGGTTTTTTAACTATTCTGCTGGACGTGCCTATCTTGCCTAAGCTGACGGACGCATAAGAAGCCCTCAAAGTCGGAGGGGAAAAATGCAAAGTCTTAGATTGGAGCAACGAATGTTATGTATTTTTATCAAATATGCGGCCGAAACACTGCCTTACTACCCGAACCTAGCTAAGCCAAAAATTCTGTCAGGCGAAGTAGGGGTGAGCGCTAATCGATAAACTATTTCCAAGACATGTACAAAGTTGTACTTATATAGAAGATCACTGAGGGATAAGCCGTGATAAATGACCGACCAGAATGGGCAAACGAAAAAATTAAATGGACTTGTAATCAATAGCGAAATCAGAGGTCGGCGAATGTCCCAGCAACAAGACTATCCGCGTCTTTATGGCAAAAAAAAACAGAAGTGCTTCGCAAATTACACTTTCGAATGAACTGGTAGTTTTTTCATCATGTATTTTGATGTCACATCACAAGCAACATGCTTCTGTTCATCTAAGACGGCTTGGTTGTTCTTAATAAAACGACGCATGTCCATTCTCCTTGAGATTGAATAACGAGAGATTCACGACGCATGTCCATTCTCCTTGAGATTGAATAAACGAGAGATTCAGCTGAGTTTCAGGTGAGTCTCCCGAAAAACCAAATTAGTTTGCAAATGAGTGTATTTCGCTAAAATTAAAGCTCATTTCGAGGGGACACTGGTACTTGTAAACAGATGTTCTTAGCAACCAGGTGGCTAGTTGTATGGAATACTACTTGAAAATGATAATGCGCCAAAAGACATAATCAATATTCCCAAACTACTGCTCATCCCTGAAGTAAGCTCACGTTTAAAAGCTTGATGTACATCTCTCCTTCTGCAGTTGATGCGTACAATCCATCGGGATGATCCAGCTTTCCCATTCCGGGAGTGGAGGTAGCTACCAAAGACCTCAGTTTTCTTGGAGATCCTCAGTGCAATAGACTTAATCTATCAAGAATTATTATTTTAGATAGATTGCACTAACTGTATTCACAGGACGAATCACAAGCCACGTTAACTCGGTCACGTAAAAAAATCACAAAATCGCAAAGAATCACAGCTTTAAATCAGTCAGGTGATCTTCCGGAATAACCAAAAGTGTTTTTTGTGCTTTATTTGTAACGCTACGTAATCACAAAAGAGTTGTGAGTCTCTGGAAGATGAAACTCTGTAGGATACAAAGATTGTTGTACTAGCTAAGGCTAAAACTAGGAACACCAGTATGGACATTTACGGATATCTCCCACTTGCCCACATCCAACGACAAGGTCTAAAATGTGTGGCATGTGTGGTATGAAAAGATGGCAGTGTTGCACCTACAGTTTACTGAGTGTCCAGCCTAGTAAATTCAATCCTGCTACAACAGGTGTGGTTATGCTGAACGTGTAGATCAAACAGCATACTCGTCGAAACAGTATAGTACAGAAAACAGCTAACACTCTATCCAATTAGGTCTATTACCTGGTGACTTTTATGACAAGACGCAGCTGGTTTCTTGCGATATTGAGCAAAGGGAGAGGGGGAAATTCTAAGAGCACGCTTGTATAGGCCTACTGAAAACGATCTCGTTTTAGAAAGGAACGCAGCCACCTAGGGCCAACATAACGTGGTGCTCAAATCTTCCATTGAAAAATTCTTCGTTTCATTTCTTTGAAACTCATTAGCTGTTTCCTCGTATCTACCCATGTTAACACGTCATAGAAGCTCGGAAAAAAACGGATATTTGGACACGCATCAAAAGAACATCGGAAAAAATAACACTCCACACTTGGTGTCATTGTAGGTTTCCCGACGAATGTCCCCTGTTGTGAGGCTTCACTGTGGTTGGAATATCTTTAAAATTCTCATGTTAAATAACAGTGGTGTCTGACTGGTAACAGCAAGCAAAAAACACCATGAAAAATCAATCGGTCTCGCGATTATTGAAGGTAAACGCTTATAAACGTATTCATGGCCCGAAAACTAACCGAGTTTTGTAGGGAGCAGTGATTCGAAGGAATTGGTGAGACAACGTGTGTTTGTCATTGTGGTAACAAGCCGAGCATAGATCCGTGCTCAGGCACACGACGCATTTCCAACGAATTCCATATATTGGGGACTGAGACGATACAACAAAAAACGCGAATAGTATCGTTATACATGCCTGTAACTAATCAATGCACTTAAAACCACTTTAAAACAAGTTTAATGGTATGCAAATTGAAATCCAAGTTCGTCAGTTCTCAAGTCGACACCCCCGTGAAAGTCCAAAGATTGGCGCAGACCCACTTCTAACGTTATGGGACCTTTTCTCAACACCGGTTAACCAGTTCGACCAATAACACTGAAAATCCCTCCGAGGATAATTCATTTCCCAGGAACTGCGTTTGGGTTTGTTTTCAGTCAGTCTCGATATGACGTGGACAACTGAATTTAAAAAACAACTCACTGGCAAAACATTGTTAGACATGGCCCAGTCGCGCCCTAAATGGTGTTCATGCATCCAAGCTGTTGCCTTCAATGCGTAGATCCCTTCCCCATCCCCCAACTTAACAGTTCACCTACAGTGTTGTATTTACGCACTGATTTATCAGCTCCCGCCTCCAATTCGCAGCTACGTACCTCACCGCCTCGAATCATCGGTGAGCGAAACTGTGGTAATTACAACCACTGTACGACGAATACGCGTTTATTACAGCTAACAGCGGTGATCATGATGATGACTGGCAAAACTTGGTAGGTTTAGGTCACTTTCTGTTTGTTGCCGAGCGAGGACTATGACGATCTAGGAACTGATTACCACGGCTGTTTACCTGGAGCTCCAGGGAACTCAGTGGCTAAGGCACAAACAGTTGACCAAAAGGTCCCTGGTTCGAACCTGTTCCTGGATTTTCGGTTGCCACTTTCTAGGTAGCATCCGGCATCTGGCAGCATATCAGTCCTCCTTCGAACTGTTTAACAGCCATTCACCACAATGCTGCCACAACTTATTTGCATTTACACTCATTTCAGAAACAATTGGCTTTACACGGGAGACTCAACTGGATCTCTCGTGTATGATATTCTTCAAATGAATATGCTGTAAAAAGACAGCCTTATGTTTCAGTTGTTACGACATTCCAGATATGGCAGTATATTTTCCATAAAGGTGCTGTGGACCACAGTTTTCTCAATGCATTCTTAACCCGAGTCTGGATAGCAGCTTCAAACCCTGGCACGATTAGCCAAACCAAAAAGCCAATGAATCAGCTGATCTACTGAACACTGATATGTATAGACATGTCATGTGCCACCGGAGACTAACTGTTTATAAATTCCTAGGGGAGGGGAAAAAAATTATACCGAAAGTAGAACTCATTTGTCAAGGTCAAGTAAACAGCAACTGGTCCAATCTGTCCCAACGAAAACGGTTATTCCACTAACATCTGTGTAGTCCAGTTACTTTCGGAGCTGATTCTCCCAACAAAAGTAAACTGAAGCTCAGTTTTCTGAAAACTCTTCCACAGTCCACTTCCAGTTTTGCCCTTCAGGTATGCACAGCTCCCGAGTTTCTCTCAACCAAATTGGACTGATATCGACAAATACAGTCAGCTGAAAATCACTTTGGTTCTTACGGAAGACTCAACAGACTAGTAGCCTGTGGGTCAGTAGCTTCTGAGCAACAAAATGATCATCTCAGACTCACACAGAATATAGCGGTACTCATCCTTCAAATACGGAATCCGTTTCACGTATTCAGATGTGCTGACTGACTCCTGAAGTGGTTATTTCTCACATGGAAGTTCCTTTAGATGTAGATTCCATCTTTCAATGATAAGTGGTTATACATCTTATTCAATTGGGACCTAATCACGTCAGCCGTCAGTATCCTAACGGTTAAATGATAAATCTATTGACCTGAAGGTTGAGTCGAAATTCCGAGTATTTTCGTCAAAGGACCACTGCTAAGGGCTCTTAATTAGAGTGGAATAGGCATACAGTGTTTCTTGGCTTTTTGTCATATATTGGTTTAGCTTACAGGACAAGATCGCAATCAACAACTTGTCTTTTTATTCGTTTACCACTCGCTCGTTTACTCTTCCAAGTATGCGTCTATGCGCCTTGGCCTGGGACAGTAGCTTCTGTAAGCCGCAACATGCTGAAGTTGTCTATGTCATTCTAAGGCAACGGGGAACAAAATCAGTCATTGCACAACTCAGCGTCGAACCCGCACAAACTCCGCAGGCAAATTTCCTGATTTTGTAACACTTAGCGTAGCGTAAAGTGTTTACCTCGAAGAGGTTTTGATTTTGTCGGGATTAAAAAAACCAAAAGAGTCAAAACGTTTTTGTGATGCTTTTTAAACTCAGTATGACCAATATCTAAATGGTTCAAAGCAACTTTAAGGCAAGAGATTGCACTTCAAAAGGACACTATATACCATGCTGGTAAAATTCTCCTTAGAGAACTTATCAGGCAGTTCAGTTAAATGCTTTTATAACAGCACTTCAACCTGATTTGATAATTCAACAGTGTTCCCCAACCAACCCACGAAGAAACTCGATAAAAGCCAGAGGTATCCATGTACACATGTCAGAACTTCATTTACGAGAACCCTATCTGCTTTGTATTGTTCAAATATGTCAATAAGCATGATTAATTTGTCTCGGAATTATATCCGCTTCCTAATTATTAATGCACTCAACCACTCACTTCTTACGCAATCTCACTCATTGCGGACAACTATTTATAACCATTCAGATTGGCACATTCAACTTTACTGAAGCAAACGCATGCGTACTTATTTAGTGTTTCTTCCATATCTTTGGAAAAATAGCTTATTACCTGCATGTTAAAAAAACTTTTTAAACGATTTTCATAATTTTACTTCAGCTAATGGCCTTCTTCCGTTATCCGTGGGTAAGGCGGCATTTCACTTGAACATTCACGGAACAGCCTTTATCTCTGAGAAAATTAGTGGATTACGGGTGATGATTTCACCATCTATCCAACTTTAGAAATGGTCGCCACCAAGTAACTGGAATATTCAGTCAGTTTTCTAAGTATAGTGGAAGGATTCGCAGATGAATACGTCTTTACAAGTAGGGAAACTAACTTCATGACAGCCTTCGCATATTGTTCCGGGATGTTTCACTCCTGTTGGTGCACTATCCAGCACGCGAAGGTCGAATCCGAGAGTCCCACAGCGATAGTTGGCAACCACGCCGGAATCCCACACGACTATTGCTTCTCCAGGAGTGTCAAACCTCCGAACCGATCCTACATGTCCTTCACCTCCATCCTGATGAAAAGTAGACAAAATATAGTTGCACTACAGTGTAAAAGAAACTTTTTTGGTACAGTTGCCATCTTGGTATGATTTTTGCTACTGAAAATGCAGTAATAAGGCGTAAGGTTTAGAAGATCTTGTAAAATCAGGTGATCTAAGAGGAAACGGAATGCACAAACACCGCTGACATTGTTTCGCTGCCATTTCTTCCAACTAATCCAGCCAGCTGGTTACGCGCCATCCATCTTACAGTTTTCATCATTCTAAAAGAATCACGTGGGACAACACTCTTCTCTGTGACCAATTGTACACTCTCATTAGATTTCTTTGAATAAAGCTGCTTCTGCCGATAAATATATATATATATATATATCCTCAACTCGATAGCCTCAGTACATAACCGTGGGGAGGGCGTGTCATTGAAATAAAGGCTTGATACCCAATAGCATCTCCTGCAAATGCCAGAAGGTCTTGTATGACCCCACTTAGTCGGATATAAATTTATCGCCCGGAACTTGGCTTCCAAGTTTCAAATTCATTTAAAAAGAGAAAAAGCGAGACAATTTAAGCGTTTTCGCTGGCTTGTGAAAACGCGACATCCATGCGCTGATATCTAGCTAGGTATTCATCTAGTTATTTAGTTATCACCTCAACAGCGGCATACTTTGCTTGCGTCGAAGGATGGCTACAGAACTGCTGCTTCATTAGCTGGTGCGGAATTTTTGTGGAATTTGTCTCAGTAAAATTTATCAAATTTTCAGCTATTTATCTTCGGCAATCTGTCCCACTCTCTAAATCATTAACAAAATTACCAGAAATATATTAGATCTAACAATTGCCCCAAGTAATGTCCCATTAGAAGTGGTCTTCAGCAGACAGCGCTTCAACGTCTGCGCAGATAACCCTCCTTCATCCATTCAATTGAGTTGTTTGTCGTATGCAGCCGGCATGTGCGTTCAGGAAGTAGCCTTTGCCTGTGCGAATAGGACCTCTATCCTCATAAGTCCCGATCTTTAGTAAAGCCGCTGCAGCCACTCCAACAAATCCTCAGTTTTGCCGGTTAGCTAACGTAAAATGACTTATCAAGCTAGCGAAACTCATCTAATCACAGTCACATCGAACAGAGACCTTGGAGTCGTCTTTACACAATTGCTCAAAACGCCAGGTAAGCAATTTTTATATTCAGATTCATTCAGGTAGTTTGAAGTTGGGTTAGCCCATCGCTACACACTACTGCGCTGCCCCGATAACGCACTGATGATGTCACTTCGATTAGTGACGGAAGGTTTGAAATCAAATTGCCCAGCTCAGCGAACAAGCCAACGACCATCTACGCTACCTGAGCCACCGACATCTTCCTGTATACATAGACTGTCGGTTTGTATGATATTGGCCAAAGATCTACACCGCATTTAGTTGTCTTGTATCTTAAAGTGTTGGAAATAAGAATTGCGGCAGTAGATGTCAACTAGAGTAGGAGAGCTCTTCCAAGTTTTGCAGTCATACCGTAAGCACTTGTCTGTTGCCTGTTGATCCTTTTCAAGAATTAGAGACTTAGCAATTTCAAACTGCAAATCCTTTTATTTCTACTGTTAAATGGATGCCCTAATTTTTAAACGTGTTTCAAGCTTGTGCAGGTACGCCCCAGTCTAACTTATCCGTCGAAGCAAAAAATACATCAGCGCTTGATGGTTTTAAGAATCAAGCTTGTACGTGCATTTTGGGATCCTAGCGTATGAATGATCATGGCAAGGAATTTTCCGTGCAGGACTTTTCTTGCAACGCAAGATTAAACCGAGTTTTAGATTTTGCTCAGTTCACATTATTCGTTTTCAATGCTAGAAACTATGCAAATCCTTCTTATTCTAGCAGTGAAATTACAATTATGCCAAATAACCTTGGCGCATAATCCGTTCTTTAGTACAAAAGCAGGGGGTTCGTCTTGCTTTGCCACCAGCCTGCCGTGTGATCCTTGGTCACGAAGTCACCACTTACATACAATTTATATGCTTCTGGTTTCCTTTGAGCACAAACAGGTCATCCAAGCTTCGGACCCTGCAGTTAACATGGGTCTAATGGGTTCTTTCTCTGTCCAGTCTATCATTCGGGTTTCACAAAATCTTAAATAATTCACGATTATTTACGGCTTGCTTATATCCGGTATGGTACTCAGACTATCCAACACACTTGCATATATACGCAGAACTCGTCCAAAAACATGGTTTTGGAAAAAGCCAACAATCTACTCAAGCTACCCTCTTGCTTGTTGCGACGGCTTTTTTATATGTAATACGCGGTTAGTAGAGCTTTGTCCATTCCACCAGCTTATTCATTCAGCCTCATGCACTGGGTTTCCTATGACAGTGTTTTAAAATTTGCTCTCATTCCTTTCCTCCAACCTTTACTGTTTTCTGCCTCCATGTTTGGCGGGCTTATTCTAGGAGCTGCGAGTTGACAATCGTTCCCAGTGTCTCATCCAGGTATGACATCTCCGGATTTTTTTTCGATTCTGTGAAAAGAGAATTGGTTTAAAGCAATTATGAGTAACATACTGCAGTCTTGTTTTCTTGCGAGTTAGTTTACAACATTTTTCTGGTATAAAATGGATTTTGGTTACTTTAAACGTCATAAAATTGAGCTAAATGAATTAATGCTACTGAAAAGCAAATAAATTTTAGCGTACATATTTTTCTGTGACTATTTCACTGGACATTTGTCAGAGTTGCTCAATGTCGGGTAAAGATGCAACTAATTAGTGCTACTAACCATATTTAATTTGAATAGTTCACATATACCGTCTAAACACCATGATAACTTTACTTTTTGTACATAAAGGCGGGCACTTTTCTTGGTTCCTTAGTGGTCTGGCTCTGAACCCTGGAGTCAGTATGACTTAGAGCGCAACTTTATTTTCCCTGTTGATCAAACTGTGACACATGTAACTGCCACAAGCTTAAACATCACCTCCAAATCATCCATTTTCCGGTGCTACCACATCTGAGTCTGCGCAACATTATCCAATTTCCTCTGCTCAGTTATCAATTCGACCCCATCAGGTTTGTTTGTGAGGCTTGTGCACTAGTAGAAACATTTAGAGAATCCCTGTGAATGACCCTTGAAACCTTCATTTCTATTACATGAAGGTTTCATTGAAAACAATTATAACATTTGGCTCTCAGTATAGTAACCGTTGTCCACTAAAGCTCTAACCACTCTGATAATCTATAAGGCCTCAAAACTCACGGTCTTCTTTCAGGCTCTTTTCCCTTAATATTGGTCTCTGTACCACTTCTTCGCTCCCTGGTATAAGATCTAAGGATCACAATCCGTTTTGTGTTTACACTCATCAACATTCAGGGCAAAGACAAACGTACGTTTCGCTTCCTATTTGTCTTCATCTGTTGCTTTATGGCCTCATCTAGTGCTGCACATCCATCGTATTCCTTCATAGTTCTCGTATTCCTACGCGTAGTTAATTCTCCTTATTTTTCGTTCTTCTCTTGTGCAGTATGCACCGTTGCTGGGCCCTATTCATCATCAGTCCTCGACAATCCAGCTCCCTAATCTTTAGACCCGGTTTATGATTTAGATAACTGAACATTCTCATCTCCAATCTGTTGATCGCCAAAGATTGGCGCATATGCGGTTCTTGATTCCGGTATAATCCCCTACAATTCACTAAGTGCTAGACGGTCAGTTGTTGTAAGCAAATTAATATGCTATTCTTTGTGACCACTAGCGTGTACATACGTTGAAATTATGAGTCAAATCAATCAATTTTAATTAATTTACGGGCTATAAACCGTGTGCCATGGGCACATCGACTCAGGCTGCTACGGTTTTAATCACCAAAAAATGGGAAATCGGAATACAAACAAGCCTCAATGGTCTTAACAATTCTCCGGTTTATTCTGGAAGGTTTTATATGTTCTTAGTACTGGTGATAGTCATATCTTCCTGTGCCCTCCTTTGCACACACTAAATTTGAATAACTCATTCGTTTGTTCGTCAAGTTGTGCGCTCTTTCCGGAGTCTTTTTCAGAATACTTACTTACCTTCTCTCCACTTCCCTCGAAAATTGTCCAATTCCAATAGTCGGCATATTTTCCGCATTTTCTAGCTTCTGAGCTACTTACTTAGCCGTAAAGCAGAAAACTTGCATCTCATGTCGGCCTAAGTTATTGTACAAAATGCGAATCACATCAATGCCTTAATGACGCCACTGTCTTTGTTAAGCACGGGACGCATTTCTCCAGTTACTTGTTGAATTCTCCTATAAAAGTGCCATAAACAAATACAAGCAGGATTGATCAATTTTAAAAAACGTACAGTATGCCAAAATGGATGCTGTAAGCCTGTTAGGGGAACATTTGACTACGCTAATGGGTGGCAAAAGTCCCAGCGTCCCAACAACCCGGCTTTTTCGGGTGATGAACGTTTTGAGCTGTTCAGCATGAAAAAAGCGTCAGTTAAAATCTCCAGGATAGAAAAAAACTCGTCTCAATTCAGTATCAACCAAGGCTGAGGATAATCTGCATTACAGTGAGTACCATGATACTTTGTCACCTTGTACCAACCCAAGCCTAAGGAATATCTTGCTAACTGGGAGGCTTGAAAAGATAGAAACATCAATATGCAACACACGAGGAAGTAATTTTTCGACAGTCCCAGCTGTTGCCATACAAATTTTTGCTCAATTATAGAAGTAGGTGAATGATAATGTTGCCTGGGACAGATTTTAGGAAACTCTGCAAGCGCTTTGGCGAGTTTTATTCCTAAAATGACGATCGCAATAATCAAGGGCACGCCTTGGATGAATGATAAATTAAGACTGCAAGTACTCAACATATGCTGGTCGTCAAAAAGCCATTATATAAACAGAAAACCAAAGCATTGTGCTGAATATAAGAAGTTTCAAAACGGGTGCAACCCTCTTGAGACATTGAGAGGCGAAGTTTACAAACCCAGTTATCCAGCATGCGATGTAACAGCCAAGCTAATTCTCTACCTATATGGACCAAAAACTCAGGGCAGCAGACGAAGTACCACTGCAAATAACAGAAAGAGTCGATTTGTGAAATACATTTCAAAAAGTGTATCGTTGCTAGCTCGTACGTACTCTTTAGTCTAGCGCATGATATAACCTGCATAAATTCCTTATTGAGTGGAAGCAGGCGAGTCACATAGGTACAACTGCACGATATTCTGGATTTTTCTTCACTCGAAGAAAAGAAAGTTCCTCAAATTATATGGGCCTTACTACTTGGTGCTTTGCAATCTGGAAAGCACTTTGGCCTCGAACCTTGTACTTATCTGCAATCAAGTAATGGCAGAAGCCATTGGACTAGAAGCGCTTTATGATTTCCTCACTAAGCTGCCTTACGAAGATGGTGATAAACACAAGCCTGCTAGGCACCAGCTGGCTGAGTTGACATCGGTAATCTGGTAAATAATAGAGAAATGAGGCGCTTTTTGGAGCAGTGTTCTTTAAATATCAAAATTGTGTAGTTTCGCGGCCAACCCGTTTTGTTTTGTAAATCTGTTGGTAGAAGATGAAAATTGGGCACGAATAGTTGATCGTGGACACAATTAAATGCTGCATTATTAGACTTTACTGGGACAGCTGAAAGAGTGAACCACAACTATTCTTGTCACACTAAATTAAGTCATTTGTTGATATTGTGGTATTGTTGATATGCTGGATGGCCAAGTTCCTAAGAGAGCGCCGTTACAGAATTTAGGTGAATGGGTGGTTTTTTGAACGATTACCAATGGCAATGGGGTGCGACAGACAGCGTGAATTTATTCTACGCTATTTGACTTCTACGTGGACACACCATACCGCGACCCAGAGGAAATTTGACTTGAATGATTGGCGCACATCAGGATAGACGGCGGAAAAAAACTTCAACCATGATACCTGAAATGTGCCAGAATAATAGGATACCGATCAACCCCATAAAATGCCAGGAGGTGATCACTGACGGAATAAAAGGGAAGCACCAAAACTTCGTGAATGGTCAACTGGTACCGGATGAAACGATATTCAATCGGAGGCACAAATCGCAAGGAAACGTACAAAGACTAATCAGCAATACGCGTATTGCAAATGTTTCAACCGGGAAGACTGTACCGTACCGAGACTGCTCGTCGCGTTTAACCAGTCTGCCATAAAGTATGATAAAACGGTTTATTCCCATGAAGGGCGAATACATGCAACCGCGATGACAAAGGGTATAGTCCACGTAAATGGCACCAGGTCTAAGATATACCAGCTAAACTAATCGCTGTTAACCACCGATTGCGGCCACACTTGCATAGACCTGGCTTTTTTGTTTCGGGTCAAGAATCTTCCAGGTATATGGATGCATTTTTGCAAAGACAACTATTATGCGGTCCAAGTATATATTCTTTAAAAGCCTAGGTTACGAGAGGCGAAATCAGCGTTATGCCTGCACTACAAAACAGCGCGTTTGTGGAGTAGGTTTTCGGAAATTGCATAACGACATTTTCAATTGAGGATTTCATGCGCTTGCTTTGTCAATACGTGTAGCGTTCATCAGACTTGATAATGCAGGTCCAAAACAGAAGGCATGTAACCTGGAAACCCTTCTGTATTAACCAGCTAACCAATATCTGGTAAGGTGTAAACGCACAGCATGCTTGAAGTGGTTGCACTGCTACCATAAATACGAAATAATGCAAGGGAGTGTGAAATTTTATCACTGTGTACATGAGCGCTGATTCTGAACAACGATCCGATCCTAAGTCATTACACATGGCTCAACCATATTAGGTTGTCCAAAGTTTGAATGAATGTGAAGCAAGAATTTCAGCCAAATGTTAGAGAAAGTAGCGGCTGCCCATGTAGATGAGCAACTTTGCCTACCTGCTTATTCCATTTCCAATCTGGCCCTCTTACAACTCGACAGCCTATTCCACTGGCGTACGTTCCGGGGTCATACAAACCATTGCGAGATTCGCTCATAATTGAATGCTTCACAATTAGGAGTAAAGGTAATGTGATGTATATAAACAACACGTTCATTTCACTTATAGTTCAAACCGTCGAAATTGTCGAATATTCAAAAGAGCACTGAAAAATAAATTGCACCAATGCTTCACAATTAGGAGTAAAGGTAATGTGATGTATATAAACAACACGTTCATTTCACTTATAGTTCAAACCGTCGAAATTGTCGAATATTCAAAAGAGCACTGAAAAATTGCCCAAATTGCACCCGAGAAGAATACTCGCCGTTAAGAGCCAGCATTTCGCAGTCTGGACTGGGCCTAGAGTATCCCAATGTCATATGGCCCATATCTGAGAATAGCATTATGGCATGTACCTTTTGGAAGGAACAGGGGACAGTGAGTCTCAGAAGGTAGTTGTTCTTGACTTCTTCTGTGGATGAAAAAGAGAAATAAAGCTCATGAGCTGAAGCCTATTACGCAATGTTTCACACCAATACTTACGTACATACCAAACTGAGAGAGACTATACTGCATGTATAAAAGCCTGTGAGAGGCTACCAATTATCATTCCTCGTTTGTTCCCACGGGCGCTCCAAGTCTCTGCAGGTTCATAGTCACTTCAATAATTGTCTGCACAGTCACCCAGTTCACGGTTTCGAAGCCAGTAATAGCCAGCTTTGGGTATTGGCTGAATTGGATAAAGAAAGACGTCACCCTCATTGAGTGTATCCGGCGGGCTGCTACGAGAATGGTTGCCGGCCTCAAATCCGTGGACTACAGAACGTGTCTCGCGATGCTTGACCTCTTTCCCCTGGTGTGCCATCGCCTTAGAAGGGACCTAATTCTTACTTATGCCCTGTTTGAACAAAGCTTGGCAAACAGGTTTTTCACTGTTGACCCAGCAAACACACGGCGGGACAGTAAGAAAATTTTCAAGCTCAGAGCACACACATTCATTAGACCAATTTTTTCTCATTTCGGGTAGTAGCTACGTGGAATGACCTTCCTCCGAAGGTTGTCCACGCTCCTTCTAGAACCCAGTTTAAAGCACTATTAGACATTTATTTATGCGAATCCTCGCGCTGGTGAGCATACTGCCCCGCGCTGAGAACATAAAGAGCAGTGCTACACCCTTTTTTCACTTGTGCCTTTCAGGTGAACGACAAGAACAAAACCGACCCGGGAAACTTGGGAAGAAGCCTCGATCCTGTGTATCAATCCGTGAATCCGAGAATCCGTTTGCCCGGTTCAACCGAATGATGCATTGTAGTGATGTGATTGAGTTTGAGGAATATGCCATCAGCATCAGAACCAGCGACCAGGGATACTGATCACAGCTCAACCAGCAGTTATTGGTCGAACCGTGCTCTGAAACATACTGTAACCCTCAGCAATGAAACTACTGACTGGGTCTAATCCACCAAAGGTATGTTAATACCTCCTCGTTGCTCACACGTATTCGTTCCAATATCAACAAGAATGATCAAGTGGAAGCCAATGACATAAGCGTTGTTAGCATCCCTTTTGTGCCTGGGCCGGTTGACGCCGTACTCCTAGGAACACGTCTGCCGCAACCGTGGAAAAAGTGTTGAGTTGGTACAGAGCACCAATTCGTGTCTGATCCTACGTGACCGGAATGAGCCTCACGTTTGATAATCGATTATTTGATTGTTATTTTATTAACTTATGGTTATTGCCATCTCGCCATATGGCCTTTGCCGCTGAGTACCGTAGACAGTTATTGGTTCCCAAATCAAATACAACATCATAACTCCTGATCGACCTCATTTTCGGTGTCCTAACAAAGATATACCATGGGGAAGTGGTCGCTATATCGTTTCTGCTGCTGTGGCTGGGTAGTCTAGCCCCTGTATCCGCTCAAAACGAAACAACGACCCATCCCGCAATGGCCATTACAAGCTGAACTGGACAGGTTTGATGATGTCTTCTGAGAAAGACCCCGATCAGCCCACCGAGTAGGTGTTCCTCTGAGTCTTGCTCGCTGATTTTGGAAAGCTGCAGATGTGAACTTTGGTGATCCCTATTGACATACAAGTATATATACCAAGCATATTCGCGCGCGCTCTGGCTACAAAGTTCGCGGTACTTCTAAATTTTCTGGAAATGAACGGGAATGGTAACTTGATTCAAGACGAATGAAGCAAGGTTCTCTCTGTGAGTGTTAAATTGCTGTTTAATTCCCACAAATGTACACAAATGTTCGAGCGAGCTTTCGAGCCTCATATTATTTGAATTTTTATATCACAAAAGCAGCAACAAAAAGGTTCACGGAGACAATCGTCGAACAACTAGAACAAAATAGTTCACATTTGACTGCAGGACGAACGTAAAGGTTAAAAACAAATGCAAAGAGACACCAGGAATGACCGACCAAAATTGTTCTGTAAAGTGTTTTTATACATGCTTTTGCATGATTTTTAACCCCAAAATATCAATTCTACCCAAACTGGCAATATGCGGTGGAAAAGCATATATATAGCTGGGTCAGCAAGGCGCAGAAACGCACTGGCTATAAAACGGGAAAATCAGACCACAGGAAGCATTCAAATGCTCCCAGCGGACTCGGCTCGCCAATGGGACACTTATCGTTTGGTGTAGCTTTGGTGCAAAACTCTGTTTCATATACACAACCGGGCACAGACTAGAGAAAGAACGTCATTTCGTTTCCGCACAAATTCTGCGTCCTGGTGAGGAAATGCGGGGGTTGATGACATTTCTACGATGACCTAACCCGCTCTTGAGGAGCCCTAGGTCCCTAATAGGGAACAAGTCTACCAATGCACCTACTGAAATCAGTTTCGAACAACGCGCCTCCTGATCGTGACCCTTGTTGGGACGTTTTGACCCCAACCCTGCAAGCTCCTAGGTACTCAGCCCGTGAAGTGGCTCACATACCGACCAAGATATTGGATCCCGAGAAACACTGAATCTGTTCCAAACTCAAACAGATATCCCTCCAGATGAGGAGTGCAATGCAGTGCAGTGCAGTCTCAAAATTCAGGTTGAAATGTATCTGCGGGATTCAAAAAGCCTGGTGGATCCATAAAGATGATGTGGTGGAGGAAGCAAGAAACCAGGAATGGGCGTAAGCCGTTCCAGGTAATATGCGAAAGGATCCCAAAGGAACCGGCCACAGTAAAGATACTGCCTTCTCTGGCTTCTCAGTCAATATATTTCATGCTAGTGCTCTCGGTCAAACAATCACCGAGGGCGCACGACTTGTATCAAATGCCCAAAACTTACTTAAACACACATGCACAGTCCGTCGTATTTGAAGTGTATTGGGCGGCAACATCATGAAAGTTCCGATGCCTTCTTGATGTGCCACTGACAAAAGCATGCCGTGGATGCTGAATCATGATTGATTGATTGATGGGTCCACACCGCCGGTCTATCTGAGCTCGACATGATGCTGGGAGGTGCAAAACATCACACCATAAAGCGGCTAATCATTTGTGGGCTAGGCTCCTTGGCCGTAGCAGCTGTAATGTAAGCTGCTTGTTAATGTGTGATTCACATGTAAGTGTTGGTGAGGAACAGGCTTGCTTGCTGGGCTTCGGGTCATGAGCTTTCTTTGTATTTTCCAAGCACAGAAATTGTCGTCAATCCCCTACCTTCTAAGAATCACTGTCCCCTGGTGATTCCACAACATGCACACTATGCGGCACCTAACTGCAAGCTGCAAGGCGGTTCCGCCCAAGCGAAACACTCAGTGGTACCATCGGCTTGCCTATTATTGGAAAAATAGCAATGAATCGGTGGGCTGAACAGTTTGAAGGAAATTTAGCTGACCAACTCCGGTTGCTCAGCTGGATTCCCCACCTGCAAGTCATCTTTAGCTGCGTTTCAAGGTGATTGTAGCCCCGGATAGTGAACTTCGGAACCCCAACGAATGTTTTTTATCCTCATGCGTCACCGAAAGCCTCCTCTCCATGATACGACTGAAAAGATAAGACGATCTTCTGGCTTGGAGCGCACATGTCCCAAATAGCGCAACCTATGAATGGTGAGCAATTCACCCATCGCGAGCAAGTCCCTTCTTTCCTAAAGCCACCTGACATACATCAACTGCGAAAAATCCGATGTTTCCACCAGACCCGAACGAGCTTCGGAGACACCGATAGTTGAATACTGACAGCTTTCATATGTGCTCTGCACGTAGAGGTCACCTCGGATCTGTAAAGCAGTGTTGACTGCACAGATGCACTGTGTACCCGGCCTTGACCGACAAGAACAAAACCGACCCGGGAAACTTGGGCAAAGGCCTCGATCCTGCGTATCAATCCGTGAAAACTGACGCAACGTCGGTGCTATAGGCGTCGGAGGTTGGCAAGATCTGCCCTGGTCTCACCGATTCTAGAAGTAATTTCATCTCTTGCCAGTTCACAGGAACTTAGACAACTTCAAAGTTAAACAAATATATCTAACATGTAGGTTGGCTCGCCTGCAAGCATGGGGTTTGGATCTGACCCATCCCAATCTGGTTGCAGCACTTTAAATGTTGCAGGTGTGAAGCGCACGCCAAACCAGAGGGAGGATTTATGTAGGTTATCTAAAATCATCTGCATTTGGGAATTGTCTGGAAGCCACCCATCCCCTATAACCGAACAGTACTTTCAAGGATCCTGAAAAAAACGTCCTCCACACTGGCAAACCATTTACACACAGTGTTTCGTCAGTCGCTTGACGAAGGCCGCCTTCCCCCTGCTTGGAAGGAAGCGATTGTCACGCCAATATACAAAACTGGTGACCTACTGTCGCCTGGCGGCTACCGGCCTATAAGCCTCACTAGCGTGCCGTGCAAGGTGATGGAACGCATTCTGAA